TTTTTAGAGACGGCAGTTGCGCAACCAGGGTTTTGTTTGCCCGTTTCAGAATCGACGTTTCGTCTCGGTTAATTATTTAAAAGGTACGGGTGGGGACTGGACTCCGTGTTCCTATAGGGGGCGCTGTTCAAAGCGGAAGATCATGATTTCGCCTTCCCGAGTTTGCTTCATCAGCCTCCCGATTTTGCTTTTAAAATCTCTAGCCCGTTGCACAAAGCTGCCACTCCCCCCCCCCCCCCCGTGGTTACGCCACTGAGAGTCGATCGGGGTGCATTGCATGGCGTCACGTTTCCGGGTTCAGATCCACTTTCAGCGGTTGCCATAACAACCTATTGCCATGTTTGGAGACTCGGTTCAGGGATGTCGCCGTCACAGTACTCGAAAGCCGCATTAGAATGTAGCGTAGAATCAGCTATACACTTTAGTCAACCGGTGTTACGCTTTAGCCAAGGGTATTCTGTTTGCAGGGTCACAGAGACATTGCGAACAAAACAAAAACAAGCGAATCAAGTACGTTCGATGGCCTTTCGTAAAACGAAAATTGCATACTTCCCAGACAGGAAAAAAAATCGTGCACACTATGAACAATCTTTAAGGATACGCTCATATTCTTGGTAAACTCAAATGCAATCCTTCCTCGGTTTACTACTCAATAAAACTGTAACCTTTTTTTCAGTGATGTAAGCATAATTTGCCACCGGGAATTAAAGTCTGCATTTAGAAGGGCAAAGCATGTAAAACTACCGTCAGGCTACCGCCGCACTTGCTTCGTTGAAATGTAAATGTCAGACAGGTCGCACACGTCCTCGTTATGAGACCTGCTAGGAGTTTTATCAACTGCGCATGCGGATTAAATGGGAAAAAAAAACTCTTGTTCCAATTCTTTCACCGCTGAAATAGATAGCCGTGATTCAATTAAATTCTTGCATTGGTGGCCGTTTGCGCAATGGCCATATTCACACGCTACTACGTGAAGCACCGGCTCAGTCTAACACATGATACCCACGACACCACCCATGGGTAAAATACGGTTTGATAGAATATGAAATTTCAGATGACTACAAGAAATTAAACCCGGTCGAGGAGTGATTATATTTTGTTGGCAACAATAATACGAAAAATTGGATAGCCCCTGAAACCCTGTGTGTCCCCTTGGGAAGACGTATCTTAGACAATCATATAGTTTACATTATGCTTTTAAAAACGGCAAAATTTGATCCGCATTGACGCCATGTTGTCCTTTTCTTGGAAAAAAATTATATAATGCGGATTATTTGATAGGGTACAATTCCCAAAAAGTAATATTGGCGCAATATATAGGCCTAGGTTGACTTTCAAAGACAAACTGGCATTTGGAAGCCTTTGTGTTAAATAGAAATAGGACCAACGGCATATCCAGCTTTTTGTGCCGGGGGCAAATTAAGACTTTACTGTATCGACGTCTGAACCGTCTGAAAACCGTCTGAAAAACCGAAACGCCTCCGAGGGCAGGTTGCCTCTCCTGCCCCTACCCACCCCCACATCCCCCTCTCCCCTCTGCTGGATACGCCACTGAATAGGACATTAATCGCATACATTTAAAGTTAGCCCTATATGTGGATTGGAGTGGATTCTGACGTCTTTTTTATAAGGCTCGTAAATTGATGTTGCGATATTGTATCCACAGATTACTAAATGTTAAGATTTCAAAAACCTAAACCAAATTTGCCTTCCGGCCACAATATGTGGAAATTCAATTATCCAAACTATAACTACGACGAACAAAACAAATACGGAACGCTATTATTATGAACCAATGACATTTCTATCCACATCTCTGATGTCGTCCATATCTCTTCCCACGCCACCAGGTATAGACAAAAACTAGAGGGCATAATAACCATCTACAGTCAGGTACATGTTTACGACAATATCACTCAGGTGTAACTTCATTCTTGCCGTGAGGTGAATGTTAAAACTCTCCCCCTTGGAGGGGCATTGGCTCTTCACTGCCTCCGTGTACGCTGGTCCGCGGAGAAGCTTTGTTTGGCTAGCTCCCCGATGTAGGAGCTACTTGCCCCCCCCCCCCCCCGAAGTACCATCCCCAGTCGTGACTTGATTACATTACATTTCCGCCCTCACTGTTTTTCGGTACACATAATGTCTACGTGAATAGGGTGAGTCAGAACAATCTGGACCCAGGTTCACCATTTCGGGTGGCAAATAGAGTATATTGAGCAAAAAAAAACTCAGTGTTTCTTCCACGGGAATTTTGAATTTTTCAAATATTAAAGTGGCTGGGGTGAGGATTTATACCATTCATCGAAGTGGCTTATTTTCCAGTCTGCACACGGAATTGGTTTTGCCTTTTTTGTTTAAATGTGTCAATGACTTCAAGTGAGTCAGTCACCATGACTAGGTTTTTAGTTATTATTTACATCAGGACGCGATTTCAATAAATTTGTTGAACCTTGGAACCGTGGTCAGAGTGTTTATTTAGCGTATGTTCTTTGCTAGCACTTTTCTTCAAAATGTTACAATGGATATACATGAAACGTTCACCAAATAAGTCCAAAATACCAGCCTATAACATTATCTCATTTGGGCGCAGATCATTCTGACTCACCCTGTAGGCCCAGCGATAATAGGACCAAAGGCGAGAAAAAAAAAGTAACCGCTTTATTTCCTCGTGCGAGCCCTGCCCGTGAGGTTGATGTAAATCGGATGAATAAATCAGATAAATCATTCATACATCAAGAAACATGCGCCAGCGATGGAATTGAAAGCGCACTTCTGTAGTCACCTTTATAGGCTAAGGGGAATACCTGGAGAAAAAAAATCTTCTCGTCTCCATCAGAATGCATAACATCGCGGAGCTCTGAAAAAGTAAATTCCCATTCCTTCGTTTACAGGTGCAGAACACGTGCTGACTGCAGTTAACCTTTTTACGCATGATCTGATACCTTTTGAGGAATGAGCGTTTCGTTCCAGATATTTTTACAATGCAGACGACGTTAGGAATAGGAAATGTCCTGAGGGGAGAATTTTCAAACTATAACAATTGTCCAATCTTGGCAGTAACACCGTGTGCCAAATTCGCCTAGATCCCTAGTAACTTTGCTGCTTAACCAAGCAAAAATGAAATTGAAGACTAATCGCCAACGTACGAAAACTTGATACGTCTTCAGCGCCGAAAATGGAGGAGAAACCCGAACACAAGCGGGCACATATTTACTCATATGGATCTTTGAAGTGATTAAATGACCAGCTCACAGCAGAAGAAACAGGGGGAAATAGACAAAACGTACCTCCTAAAAACACAACTGTGACCAATTGGGGGCGCGCATCGTCTGCGCAACCCTCTTGATCCGCTACTTGTCTTTGTCAATTCAAACGTCGTTCATTCTTTTGCTTGTATACTTGTTTTTACCATGTGAAAAAGATGTTCAACACGCTGTTCTTAAAGAGTGATTAAAGTCAGCCTCTCGTAAAGTTGGCATCCTTCAAAAGTCGGCTACCCTTTGTATTAAACTCATCTTTAATATTAGAAAATGATTGACAAGGAACGTGGGGTTGAATAGGGATTGGAAAGAAATATAAAGGAATTAGCCTCTTTTCAGGCACTTGGTGGCGCTGCAGTATAATTTTTTTGTTATTTCTATGTTGTGCGTTATTCGATTGAACTGGGCATGGTTGCTATATCGTTGGAATTTAGTTTCAACAAAATCGACGCGTGAAAACGCCCGCAGATACGATTCACGGTGAAGAAATCTGCCAGCACACCGCATGCATTCACGGGGAGAGGTCCTTTGAAAGTATCAATCCAATCGGAGTTGCCTGACCCCAAAAAACACTGAGCAGTTTGCGGCCGCTGGCCATTTGAAATTGCTCCATGTCTTGCCAGCGGCCGCGTCTTAATCGCGTTTCACGGTCGATGGTGAAATGGCACGGGGTTCAGAATGAAGGAAACACTGGCGATATTTTCTTCATTTTCCCCGATCGATTCAAGATTTTTTTTTTTGGCCCTCCTTCTAATTCCAAAGCCTTAAGTGAATGTCACTGAACTTCCTGACTGTAATTATTTTCCTCATCGATTTTGACGTGACTTGTTTGCGTGTGTGTTTTAGGTAGGTTGCGGTTCATTGTATTGTGAATTTGGATATTTTTAGGGCTGTCGTCGGTCAGCTCGCAATTTCATAATTACTGAGCAGAGCTGGAGAATTGTGAAGCTGGAGAAAAGCAAAGTTTGAATTCGGAACCACAATCGCAAATTCATCAACAGCAATGTTAACAAATACAAATTGTTCACCTAATTTGATCACCGAGTCCAAATCTATTTCTGCAAGTTCCGTTAAATTCCACGTTATTCACGCACCTGCACCATCTTTTCAATTCAGTTTAATTCAGTTCAATTCAAATATACATTTATTTCCATATACAACAAATACATGCATTCTGAGCCATGCTATTGAGTGGGTCAATATTGGTCAAGACCCCCAATGGTTTGTTAAAAGTATGCCGGGGGGAGTAGAAGGAAAATTGACCGTTTGTGACCTCTTAAATAGCAAGAGGGTTAATGATCATTATACAAAGATACACTCAGCGGTAGAATTTGGAAGAAAGACCTTTTTTAAAAGGAGATGCTGATATGGAGGCATATTCAAAAGACCAAAAGGCTTATGCAGAAATGCCTTGTTTGGCAAACATGATGCGTTAAGGCGGTGATGGAGGGTAATGGTTTTGTATTGCTTGGATTGGTATGAGTAAACTTCGTTGTTACTAGATTTAAAAAAAAAAAAAAACAAGAACAGCCTCTGAGACACCATAACTCATAAGGTCTATTAAAAAGAGAGTCAGGGTGCCTGACCAACGTAAACTTGCATCTCGTTATCTTATTGCAATTATAATTTGTTACACTGATATTGTTTAAAAACCACTGATTTTATCGTGGTTTTCGTGAGACATTCTATTTAGTGATTCTCCATCATGATTCTTTGGTTTGTCCATTTTCTCTTCCTCAGGACGAGCGGAATCAGATCTTGACAACCAACGTCTGGATTGAGCAGGTATATTGCAACAGATTGCTTGATAACTTGACACACTTCATTCACCATCCATTTCGTTTAAACAATGGCCCGCTATATCAGTAATTACTGCATGCCCCAGTCATTCTCGATCTCAGATGTTTTCTTTGGTACTGAATGGGATATCTAAAATCTACTTGATTACGGGTTGATATGGTGTCCATGCTACACATGGTGCCCATGCTCCTTTGATGAATCGGGCGTTTCCAAACTACAGTACAGGGTGAGTAAAAAAAAATGTCGGGACCATTGTTTTAGTGAAGTTCTGCATAGCACTTTCAAGATCTAGCATAATTATGAAAGCCCAATTCATAAGCTTTCTTTTAGTTTAAGAATAATTCAACTCACTTGTGTAATTTTCAAGTTACGGAATTTTAAACACAACCACGGTTTTAAAGTTCTGCCTACGGATCACAAAACGGTAAGTGTTCTTTCAGCAAAACGAAAACAAGTCACATAGGGATGTGTGTGAATTGTGTTCGTTTTGCTGAAAGAATGCACACTTTTGTGTGATCGTGGACAGTGTTTAAAATTCCGTAACCTGAAAATTACATGAGTGATTTGAATGATTCTTGTTCTATAAGAAAGTTTATGAATTGGGCTTTCATATCCTAGATTTTGGAGTGCTACATGCAGAACTTCATTAAAACAATATTCCCGACATTTGGGTTTGGTTGTGTTTTTACTCACCCTGTATGTCCCAAAAAAGTGTCCGTCTGACTTTTTTTTTTAATACAAAAACATGTGGCTAAATTTGATTTGAATTTATTGTGCAGATTCTCCTTATCTGTGGCCTAACTAAACCCTATAAGTTTCATTTAATTTCAGTCGCGCATAACTACACAATTGTCAATTGATCGACGTTTTTGGACACTGTGACCAAGTTCCTTGCCTTAATGAATAGTATTGCTGTGTTATGTAAGCTGTGTAAATCCTGCACGTTGTGAACAGGGCTTGGCTAAATCCAGTATGTGGGGGGGGGGGGGGCGGACGTCCAACCGACGTGAAACATTAAAAGATATGATCACGCCAGTTTGGTTTTGGAATTTACTGCCACACTTAGTCAAATTTTGAACCTGTTCCCTTTGAGGTTTGACTTGTCGAGATTTCACTGTACTAATAAAGTCACCCTTTTTCACAACGCAGCACTGGATGGATGAGAAGATGCGGTGGGATCCCAACGACTACGGCGGCATCAACATCCTACGAATACCTGCCACGGAGCTCTGGGTACCAGACATAACGCTCTACGACAAGTGAGTTTGTGACCAATTTCTGAAACCCCGGCTTCGTGTGTGTGGCTTCGGCTTCATCTTGTGCCTTGAACCAATTTGGAGCTCTTTATATTCAAACCAAATAGAGAGATGCCTAACTGAGGATGTGTACTTTCTACAGCATTTTATGTGTTTGGTACAAAAGGTGCCTCTGATGAGCCAAAATCTCCAAATTCAGGAACCTAGAGCTTAAAGCTGACAGTCGAGTCGAGGTTGAGAAATGGTCCAAGATACCCATAGACAGATGTTGTACATTTTTCCCTGCCCCATTCCTTCTTTTCAGTCGATTGGAACACATTTAGATCTACTTCAGTATTCTATTACCAAAAAACATGTGAACCTCAAACCAAAAAGAGCAACCTCAAAATATGCACTCCTGATCACAGTTTGATTATGAAAAGAACTAAGCTATTTTGTCGGATAACTTGGTCTGGATACTCGGTTCCTTTGCATGGGTCTAGAAATCGAAAATAATAAGAAAAATACATAATAATAAGAAGAATACGCTTTTTCTTCTTCATTCTCGCAAAGTGCCGACTCCAACGACTACGTCTCGACCAGCCGCACCTCCAACGCCCTGGTCAACAACGACGGCACGGTGGACCTCTGGTCTAAGCCCTGCCTGCTAAAGAGCACCTGCAAGATCGACGTCAAGTTCTTCCCCTTTGACTACCAGGAGTGCAGCATGAAGTTCGGCTCCTGGACCTACAACAGCTTCCAGATGAACCTGGACAAGGTCCTGCCACTCTAAAATTATAGTGTAAATTTTTGTTGAGTAAGGTTGTTGGGTAAAATAATTGACTACATTTTAAAACAATTATTGATTTAAACCCCAAAACATTATTACGCATCGCTTGTGTAATAACAAAATACGTGCACTGGTATACTTCTACTATTTTATTTCTCGGGAAACATCAACAAAGATGTGTACACAAATGACCAAAGTTACAAGGAAAACATAAAACGAAAGCTTTAGATACAAAAACAAACAAAACAAAAACAAACCACCATTCAGCTCCCGAAGGATTACCCAAAAGAAACATTCAATTGTTTCTGTCGAGGGGTTCTCCAAGCTGATTGGCATACGGGAAAACAAAAAGCAATACATGTAATTATAAAATTAAGTTTTAACTATAAAAAAAATGAAATAAAGTTAACTAAATAAGTTACATAAAGTTAAGATGTATTACCCCTCCACAAGGTAAAGTTTGCTCAATAATGCAAAGCCTGTGAATGTTACTTAGAAAAGATGATAAACGCGTTGTTGTTTACTCCGAGTTTGGCAGACGTTTACGCTGTGTGAGGTAAACCATGTATACACCGCATTGCAGGCGCGCGCGGATCGTTCAAGATGGAGAACGTACGCGAGACTTTGACGTCGTGGGGATTGGCAGAACTCATCCCCATTTTTGAAGGAAAGTTTCAACTTCCAGAGTTTTCGCTCACGACATATCACCTTCTTCATGTCGTAGACTATTTTGGTGTGGTAAAAGTGCGATCATCATGTATTTTTCATGCTAAATACCCATGTTTCATTTCCATTGCTCTTAAGACCATGCTCTCACAGAGTCAGTCTGTGTGTGCATATTATGTAACACAGGCACCGAAGGCATCCAACACGTACAGCGAAGCCGTTGTGTTGTCGAGTCGCGCTGTAATAATGTGCGTAACCATACATCAATCAGATTGATGGGTAAACGAAAATATTACTCCTTTTGGGGTATTTTTTTTAACATGTTTTTGGGAGTAAAAGTTTACGTCTTTTCTGCGTAAAATGGTTACACACTGTGCAGGATAGAAATTTGACACAAAAGAAGATGTGTCAAGCTTAACCTTCATAACGACCAGGTTCCCTTCTTACTGCCATAAAGAGTACGATTTTTACCCAATATTGCATATTTATATTTTTTCTTAGAGTGTGGACGATGCCGACCTGTCCACCTACGTGCCCAACGAGCAGTGGAACCTGACATACGCTGTGGTGCGCCGGCACAAGATCAAGTACATCTGCTGCCCTCAAGAGTATCACGACGTCACCTTCTACTTCGGTCTGCAGCGGAAACCCTTGTACTACATCTACAACCTGATCATGCCCTGCATACTGCTGTCCTCGCTGGCCATGCTTGGCTTCTTCATGCCGTACGACGTCGGGGTTGTCAAGGTGTCTCTCAGTATCACCCTCATCCTGTCCCTCACGGTGTTTCTGCTGTTGGTGGCCGAGATGATGCCGCGGACATCGGAAGAGGTTCCGCTCATAGGTAACAACGAATTGTTTAAAATTCACAAGCGCTTTGAATTGGTTTTCACAACCTTAAAGTATGTTATTCATACGATGGACTGTTTTCGTCGAGGTGATGTAAATCAATGTGAGGTTTTTCCCTTCACTGACGTATAAACATTGTATCTCGGGAGGTAACACACTTTATATACAGTGTTTATACGTCGGTGAAGGGCAAAACCTAATATTGATTTAAAAGTGTGTTATCATTCATCTCAATTCATAACAAGAGTCTCTATCGAGTCGAGTGTCAAGTAATTCAAATTAACTGTGATTCAGGCATTCCTCTGTCGTCTTTCATTCCTTGTTACTTGTGACCTTACTTGTGGTCTGACTCGCCGTGTTTGACTCTTTTACAGCTCTGAACAACATTGCTTTCTTTTCATAATTGTTTGCGTTTTGATAGTTTAACCATAAATGAGCCTATTACATTAGGCAAGAAGTGCAATTGAAGTTCGACAATGCAGAACTCTCGGCATTTCACGAGGAAGCTATTCGATAGCTGTTTGATGCAGTTCATAAACTGCGTGGTATTAATTTACCTTACGTGGAACCTATTTGGATCCAGCTTGTCCAGTATACCACACAGTTTCACTTTAACGCCACATTCTTCATAGTGCATCACATAATGCTCCTCTCAACACTATATTCTCAAAAGTTCTCTTCTTCTGTTTTTTTTCAGGTCAGTACTACGCCGCCACAATGTTTCTGATTTCCATTTCAACCGCCATGAACGTGTTTGTCCTGAATGTAAACGAGCGCGGAGGGTTGAACGGTCGAGAGGTGCCGCGCCTTCTCCGGACCCCGGCCTTCGAGTACCTGGCCGGGATCTGCCTGGTGGGACCCTGCCCGGGCAAGAAAAGATCCCGGGAGTACGGCCACCACGAGGCCCATGAGCTCAAGTACAAAATGGTGAACACCTCCTCGCAGGGCCCGCAGCCCATCAACCACCAGCCGACCTCCGGCAGCAGCAACGGCGGCCGCAGCGTGCGGTTCAGCGCCAACCTGCACACCTCGTACCCGGAACACGAGATGATGATGGACGAGACCGGGGACCACCACGGGGACGCCAGCGAGCGCCGCCTGGCCAAGTTGGAGCGAAGCGTGGACGGCATCCTGAAACACATGAAGACACTCCAGAAGAGGAAGGAGAAGCAGCAGCAGCTCAAGTCGGACTGGGCCCGGGTGGCGTTGGTCATGGACCGGGTGCTCCTGATCATCTTTGGGATATGCACGTGCACCACTGCGTTAGTTCTCCTCCTACAACGATCCCCGGACAAAGTGGCGCCCTCTCTGGACACAGACTCGTGAACCTCGTAAACATTGCGTACAAACTGTGTGAGGTGTGCTTAAATATACTCAATATCATCCGGATAACGTCAACATTGTTGTTGATGCATTTCGGTATCTCTATACGTTATTATTATATGCGTCGTGTATTAAACAAGCTACATGTAGGCTGTCTATTAGCCTATGAACATACATGTAGGCCTATGAATCTTTGCAACTGGGGAAAGTGACACCAATGCATCAGGCCGCTTGTACATTTACCTTGCTACTTGTTTAAAATCCTAAAGCAGAGGTGCGACGGACCGTTGAAGTCGGACAGAGCTCCAAAAACTGACTTAACCTGCAATGGCGGTCTTGTGCGTCATCCCTTCGATGGCAACATACTTATTTGTGCATTTATGCATTTCGAGTCGTCATTTCTTGCAGACGGAACAGCTGGCTGGCCACGCTTGTGATAAGAACTATTTCTTCCTTTAAAAAAAGTTATTGATTGCTGGCAGATTCTGCCTTGTTTTATATTTATATAAGCTCAGCTAATTTAAAAAAAAAGCAATGCACGGACGTCTCAAGCTTGCCTCAGAGTACACCTGGGGGACTGCTGTTGTGAGCACATTATAAGCCGTTTCACAAACCACGAGTTCGGTACAGATTTGATGATAAGCATGTGGCAAATGGTAGATCCAGTTGGCACCGCTTATGCGTGGTCCATATACGTACTGAGACCGGACACTAAAGCTGTAGCCGAGTTTGGATAAATGGCCGTGTATGACTGCAGCCATAGTTTTGAGATTACATGACGTTGACACCGACACCGACACTGACAGCGACACTTGCCCGACCGACAATACCGACGACAATATTCACCGGACACGGACACGTAGCTGCTGAACATCGTAAAGTTTATGCATGCGAGGACCAAGTGACACCTTATGGAAACCATGACCATGTCTATAAGCTTGGCCTCAGTCCTTTATTGAGCCGTATACACTCTAACAACTCCTGGGTCAGATTAACCCCGAATCTGAATCAAAATTTGCTCAGTCCTTTATTTCCGGGTCAGAAATGACACATTTATGGGTCAAAATAACAATTTTTCTTGATCAATATGACCCAGACAAGTGTCCCTTTTGACCCTGAAAAGGACAGAGCAATTCTTGATTCAGATTCCGGGTATATCGGACCAGGAGGTTTTAGAGTGCACCGTGGCCTTTTTTATTTTGGCTCCTGCGCAAGTAGGGTTGGATGCTGGAGCCGATTGGGGCAGCTCCTGTTGTGACTCCAATCGCTGGGCACAAAGAAAGTAAAGCATGGATCTGTGGAATGGCTTATAATAAGGCTGTTTATAACGTAAACTGTTTGAGATGTCTCACAGAAACACTAAAAAGACGGACGGAAAAGTTTTCCAATTTACAACATTTTATTTAAGTGGCAAAAGTAAGAGAGCATTTTAAAACTCCAAACCTTATACATGTAGTCGGCAGTAGACGTATTTTTGCTTCTTCGCTCGGATAATGTAATTATCAACGTCAACGTTTGTCAGCGGCACATTCGATTCAGCCCTCTTTCGAAACCTTTTGAGATTTCTTTTTGGTAAAACAAGGAAGCTATGTCTGTGAAAGAAAATGTGTGAATGTCTTGCAAAAAAATACATTTTAAGCACCTCAAATGAGAACAATCCGGAAACGGCTATTCGAGTCCACCACAAGTCTATCACAAGTCCTTCCATTAGTAAATCACAAGTCCTTTCACAAGTTCAGTCATATATTTTGTAGCAGGGGGTGAACAACAGCAAAGGAATACCTCTGTAGCTCATGACTTGAACTGAGACTGAAGGCTTGTGATGTGCTTGTGAGGACTTGTGAGGTACTCGAACAGCCCTGTCAACGGGTGTCCTCGGGGATCGTTAGCGCCCCATGGGCTATATTGAGTGTTAGTCTTTCAAAATGTATGAGGTTAATTTTACGAGGGAGAAAGTAACTTCGCAAGGTAAGAAAAAAGGCCTACATTATTTTTTTTCCAAAAAGACCTTGAACTGAATCATTACCTTGCAATAACGCCACCTCCCAACCATTCTGCCATAGTGGTGTGGGCATTGGCAGGACAGTGGCGTTCTGTATCTATTAAGCTTGCCATGTTTGCTCAATTAACATTTTGGCGTGAAGTCACTTCTGATGTTTGGGAGAAAAGCTCCCGCCACCTTGGTATGATACACCTTCACGGTTTTCGAAATGTAGGCAGGTGTCAGTGTGTGACACTCGAGCGTTTCCAGTGGATGTGCGCGGATCGTAGGACTGAAACCCTAAGCCTGCTGTAACATGGACGAAAGACTTTGCAAGTACACTGGTAACGACCTGGTGAAACTTTGGGACCAATGGCTACGAGTTTTGAAAGCAGTAGCTGGTTTCCACGTGGCATTTTTTTAAAAAGCATATGTCCGTGAAACCAAACACATATTTTTAATTGGAATCGCAAATCACAAGGCCGGAGGGCCACTCAAGGTGCGGGCTACAAAGTAAAGTATAGAAAAGAAAGTTACAGAGAGAGAAATATCTGTTCACATTTCTTTGAACTGTAATAGATTATACGTTTGGTGGAAAACAGTATTCATGGAAGGCGTTCCAAAGTGCAGCAGTACGAGGAGAAAAGCTAGACGAATATCTCACAGTACTGGCCTTGGGATTAGGTAGCCTTCAGTGAAGGGGTGAGAGGAGTGAAGGTGCGACAGAAGGGACAAGTGAGCGACCTTCTGAGCACGTACCATGATAGTACGTATCTATAGAACAGGCTATAGAGAAGCAACAGAACATCTAACAGAAAGATATGACTCAAGTCAGTGTGTCATGCACTTGACAGTGAATAAATAAGCAAGCTGAAAGATCTCGCCTCCGGAACGATAGCATGGCGTCACGGGACTGGATCACTTGCTTGTCTTGGATAGTACAGGGGGGTATCAGCTTGCTAGGGAACGTGAGGCCTATTCTTTCAAATTTATCAACTCTTCCTTCTTGACTTGCTCTGAAACGAGCGTTGCCACGAGACAAAATATTTGTTCTGCCGAGGCAAGGGATTGTTTGAATGCACATGTACAGTAATACCTGTTTGTCAGTATGGAAGATGCGTAAACCAAATACATTATATAATCATAATTGTGCAAAATGTGCGGGATCTAACTGAATAAAATGTCGCCTGCTTATTTATAGGCGTTTCGTGGTAAAAACACTAGGTACTGTGTTGGGAGTTAATATACATTTTCTGCAGTACTCGTAAGACGGCTGTTCTTACAAAGTCCCGTTTATCGATGTCGCAAGTCATCGACACTGTTTCTTTACTTTTGCGTTCAGAATATGGGAGTGCACACAGGATTGTTAGATTGACATAGTATAAGGACCAGCGAACCGTAAGGCTGTGTCAATGGCTGTGGCTGTTCCTGTAGTCTGCCAATGGCTAGAACTGAAGCCGTAGCCATAGTCTGCCAATGGCTAGAACTGAAGCCGTAGCCATAATTATTTAACGTTGGGGTCATTTTTTTTTTAAACAACTCCTTTTGGCACCGAGCTTTAGCGGTTTATCTTGTTCGCAGAGCAATAAAGTATTCTACACTAAAGACATTTGTACAGTAAAACGGACCTTTTTCTAAAAGACTCGACGCTTGACATTGGCGGAGTAGGGGTCATTTTTGAAAGGTGACAATAAGTGGAGAAATGTAATTGCAGGTTTTTATTTCTTTTATTTCAATGTAAAATTAATGGCAGTTAAGCTACAATTTAGGGCATACTTAAAGGGAAATTAACGAATAAAAACATCAATCTTTAATCCGTATTTCAGCCCGTTGAATTTTATTTTCTGTATAATCCATCCAAAACAAATGCACACTTATGTGTACATAAAATCATATGACTTGTCACGTTAAAAAGTCAATGACTTTTGACTTTGTACAAACGGAACACGATATGAAACATTATCGTGTGACAATGAAACCTTAAAGCATATACAAAAAGTGAATCGAAATTGTTCTGATTGCAAAGCTGAATCACGCTGATGTTCCTTTTTTGTTACGTCAGGTTCAGACAATAAGTTGTTAGATTTCTGCAAATTTATTTGATCAACATTATGCAACGAAGAAAAAGGAAGAAAGCTCATTTCCTTGTCCAGGAATTGAAGCTATCTGTAATCATAATTATGGTTTAAGGCAACATTTGCTTGTGTTGTAATTTCCAGAAATGGACGGTTATGGGGGTTAGTATTTTATAGCAAATATTGTTACACTGACCTGTTTAAAGTTTTATGTTCACAGATGCTGGACAACCCAAGAAAAAATGCTGTTCTTGTAGTCTGGTTCCCTGACCCTACTTCAGACGAAACAAAGCAATTTATTTACCTTTGGGATTTGTCAGGTCAGGGTACCAGACCAGCTGGATTGCACCCATTCACGGATGTGTAACCGATTGCAAACGAATTGTGGACGAACTAAATTTGCTAAGTTGGGACTGTATTTGAAGGAAAAACAAATATTTTTTCCCCCAACGATAATGACAGCACACCTGGTGCCATGATTTCACAGGATGCTCGAGACTATTATTCACTTACAGTCAATTAAGGTAGTTTTGTTTTTGGATGTTTGCAAATGTTTTGCATGTATATTACCCTTAACTTGTGTTATTTTGTTTGTTTGGGTTTTTTTTTCATCATTTCTTTTGTAAAGAACTTCGAGTGTTTAACAGTGTTACAGCCTTTTGCTAACGTCATAATTTATAATCTGGACTGTTAATTCTCCGAACTAAATACAACATATTTATTTACATATTTACTAATTATTTATGTAATAATAATCAATGTGTGTGTTGGATTATAAAAAATGCATCCAGGTGTATATGATTTTTAACAGTGTAAATAAAAATACATTGCTGATGCATTATTTACGGTCACTAGACGAAAACGATACTATTCATATTATAATTATGTTTTCTTTTTTCTTCTATTTTTACCTACCTCCATTGTGATGGGCTCCTGGGTTTGTTTCACTTTATTCAAACATTGTATTTGAGAAAATAAAGGAATGGAAATAAAACCGGAATGCTTTATTAAATTTATTGTCAACTTTTTCACATTCTGTTCCCGGTCATCGTGCTTTGGATATTAAAAAAAAATAATGGTAAATGCTTATGAGTGCAATGGTAAGAGTAGTTTCATTACGTGACAGATGAAAAGTTATTTTTTCCATTGCACGAATGTGAAACATTCAGTATTTGTTGTATACAACACATGGGTAAATCCTCGTCATCTGATTGGTCAGAGCCGTGTGACCGTGCAATGGAACTTCTTATTTTTGGCGCGGTGCGGCCGCGCCGTGGGTTGGGACGAATAATCAGGCCAGGATTAAGTGTTTCGTAGGCCCTAGGCACCAGTGTTCCGAAGAATGGAAAAGGAAGGGGAAAGGAAGAGGGAATAAGAACAAAGTGGAGAATGTAAGTAATAAAAACCGCTGTCTCAAACTCAGCGAAGCTAAACTCCGGTTCTGCAATCCATGTCAAAAGAAAAAAAGATTGTACACTCTGTCATGTCGGCACAAGCTGCCGCGCGAAATCGCTTCATTTACGGGGGTTGACCGCTACAGCCATGCAAAACAAAAGCACGTGCTCGCTCGCAGGCAGTTACGAATTGAACAGATTCTTATTAGTGACGACTCAAAATAACGAGGGCATATTTCGATAGAGAGTCAAACTACAATTTTGATATTTGCGCCACAGAGCATCTGCAATCCAAAAATTTCCCGGGGCTCTTAAGCGTCCCCAGACCCCAGACCTTCAGGGCTTCACGCTCGCATATACCACATTCCACTATATATGATTTACCCCCCCCCCCCCCCCCCCCCAGTCTGGGATCAGGGAACAGGCCTGAACAAGGTATCCGCAAAGCTTCTGAGCATGTACATGCAGTTTTGCGACAATGAAATAAAAATATTATAGCTGGATTTAATTTACTATCCCTCATTTTTGCAGTGTTGGACCTACTGTGCCAACCACGTGTTGGCGATAGAAAGGTCTCTAAACGAGGGGTCGGATTATAGAGGGCGCACGCTCTTGTTACAAAGAAAGGCGAATTAACCCTTAGGGGCCTATGTAGGCTCTGAAATTATTACTAAATTATGGTTGCTCATCACCTTACTACATCAACAATGAGACTACAAAAAGTTGACCAAAAGCCAAAAATTCTGGCAATTTCTAATATTGAAACAGCTCAGTACCACTGACACTTCTGTCTGTATATGACATTACTATTTTCTCATGAATATGGAAATTCGCATTGCGTAAAACCAAAACCCTAAAGGTCCTGAAAAAAATCACTAGACGATGAGAAATACTCAGTACCGTCCCCGTGCATAAATGCAACATTCTCATTTCTCAATCGATTTAACAACATAATATCTGGTTAACGCGGCGATAGCACCCGTTATTGTCACATGCAAATCACCCAACGGAATATAAAGGTAAATCTGCGCCCAGACTTTAGACGTCATCAAATTATAGACACGTCTCATAGGTCTATATTCACCCAAAACAGCGAGACACAGCTAATGTTAGACCCATTTTTAAGTCACAGTGCAAGTGGACATTGTCGTCACCTGCTGACGTACGTTATCGCTGCCCCTTCCAACACCTGATATAATTGCCAAGGCCGGTTCAAGGTTAGCAGGGCGTCAGGTTTGCCCGAACGATCAGTTGTGATTCCCCATGCATAAGCTCTGAGGGCCAGGGACGGTTTGAACTTTTACCGAGTGGCGCGCAAGTGCGTTGGTTGTCACCAAAGCAAAACGCTCCCCTAAAATCCATGAATAATCGATGTTTTGCTTTGATTTTTCCAAAGCTGAAGTCTCCAGGCATAGTTTGAAAGTCAATTGTTCGACCGTCAGGTGTTTGTAACAGCACAGGTGAACATTTCGCATGTGAAACTTGAAATTTGATTCACTCTTTTCATTTTGGAATTATATTCGGAATGATATACTGAACTTTTGATTTTGTATTCGTAGTTTCACTGGTATAGGGAGAGGGTTCTTTTTACGCCCAAATAAAATAACAGAATATCAGGGGCAGCGATGTAAGATTGGGGTTATGGAAGCTGCCGTAACCAAGGAAACGAAGGGTGCGGGCCAGTAAATCGGTCCGAAATTGCCTGCGCCGGCCAAATCACGATTTGCATGCCTTAACTGGGCCATGAACTTGAGGCCGATCAGGGGGTTTGTACAAAAAATAAATAATAATAATAAGGGTGGCAGATGTGCAACGACCGTGAGCTTGTATTTCTGTGAAATTTGGATGAAATTGGGGCCCTTACTTGAAGCGCTCTATTTTACAATTGAGTTTTGCGATGGGCTTCAGTACTATTTTACTAGTAAGGCAAAAAAATAGTTCTGCTTCGGTTTCCCTACCTACCCTATTCTGACAGCCCCTACCCTACTTTTTTTATTGGAAAAAATGAAGAAGAAAAACCCATCAATTTTTACCTTTTTACCCTTGACTACACGCCGACGCCTCCATATGATCGTACACACACAAAAATGGCAAAAAAATCACTACCTACCTACCCTATTTTCAAATGCCATGTAATCGGAAGCAGAACTATTGGGAGGGGGGCTAAGCCGGTGATTATCTTCGGATGGAAATTTATCCCCAAAGTCATACTATTAACCCAAAAAAAATTAAAAGAAAATGAAAGATGATGAAATAAGCTTTAATTTCATGTGCGTCTCGAACACCTTGGAGAGTTGTGAGTATTTTTTCTGAATTTCAGAAGTGGGGGGGGGGGGGTGCATTTATCATTGGGTATAATTATGGCAGTCCGACTGGATCCCGAACAAGGCCCTAATTGGAGAAAGGAAACACAAGTGGCTGCCAACAAACAAACGCCAGCTCAAATCAAAGATGGCGTCCTCCACGGACACGCGAACTTTATCTGTTGAAGTCCGTAAATTGCGGAAGAAATTACGCCAAATTGACAACTTGAATCGCCTGGATAGGCCACTTCTCCCAGAAGAAGAAGAGAAGGTGCGTTCGTTTATCTATATTTCTTGCATTTATCCTGCCAACTAACAGTCATTTCATTCATTTTTTTTGTATCGATAATCGCGCTAGCATTGCAATACGCTTTCACATGTTCAGTGCCGCGCCGCGCTATATGTGCATATGCCCGCCGCCGCGCGCTGCGCTTTGCACAATTTGCAGGCAGGCATGGCGCGGCCGCGGCCGGATGTTCTCACGTGCACATAAGCCGTCTCGCGGATACCGCCAATTCTTTGTAATCACACGGTCATGACGGTCATTTTAAATGTTTAGGGGGCATAAACAATGACCATGATGACAATGACATGATTGACAACTTCTAATCACTCATGGCATGCATTAATATTAGTAGTCAGGCTACAAACATGTACATTAACCCATTATACAACAGGGTTCGAACTTAACTTTTTTTTCACTAGCCAGCCCGGCTATGAGTGAAACATACTCTTCACAAGCCTGCGGGCATTTTCACGGAAAGAATGTTGCAATCTGAGTATCTGACGCCACTTTTTTCTTCATCATAATCCTTTATCATCTCAAATAAAGGTCAGACTCAGTCAAAAGTTGAAAAGACATCGAATCTGGGAGTGGGACTGAGAAACATATAGGCTGCACTTTAAGGAAGGAAGGAAGGAAATACATATGTAATACAAAAAAATGTTGCAACCTGACGCCACTTTTTTCTTCATATATCATCTCAATGAACATGATGAAGGTCGTTCATTGCAAAAATAATGATAAGACATGAATCTGGGACTGAGAAACATTTCCAATTCCAATTTTGTTAGGAAATATTTTGGAAATTTTCTTGACTCTCCATAGACTCCATAGACACAATCATGGAAGTAGCGTCAGGTTGCAACATTTTTTCCAGGAAATACATTGTACTTTCTTGAAAATTTCTTGGAAATTCTGAACATTTTCTTGACTCTCCATAGACTTTGAACACAATCGCTGAAGTGGTATCTGGATACTACATTCTTTCCAGTGTCTCATATTAGAACAACAATGTGCATACATTGTGTATCCTGAGACAATGACATTGTCAGTGTTTTAAATAAACAGATCTTATAATTTAACCGTTAATGAAATTAGACACAATTTGATACAGGTTAGCTTTCTGAATTTAATGATTTATTTCTTCCTGTCCTTTCATCTTTGCCGTATCTCAATAATTTTAAACTTTGCCAGCCGGGTTACTTAAGGAATAGTTTGACTACATGTACATGTATGTAACCCACCGCTGTTTTGACTAGCATTTGGCTACTGCTAAAGTCGAACCCTGGGCTAAAGTCATGACAGTTGCTACATAGTATGTATTGTAGACCTGTAAACGTGGCCATGTACATACCCACGTTCCGTTCATAATCTCTGGACTTTTTCAGCGTGTTCGAAATCCCGGTTGGAGACCTGCCACTCACAGTCCCGAAATTTAATAAGCTCTATGTTCTAGTACTTATCACGAAAAGAGTTTCTAAAAACTTCCAGTGGCATAGGATCTGTCATTCCAAAGAAATTCAAGGGAAAAATGGAGCCCAACAAGAAAGTGTACTGTCTGTAGAAATTTTTTAAGTCCAGAGCTACCGGTACTTACGTGTATGAACGGAGCGTGACGATACATGGTCATGTACACGGGTCTATAGTCACAGTTGCATAATGGGACGTATTTTCACTCTTATGCCCCCAAACAAATTACCACAGGATCACCAAGATGGGGGTATCTGTGAAAAAGAAATATGTAGGCTATACAATGTACATGGTTCAAAGAAATATGTGGCGATAGTGTAGTACTTAGGACACCACGGTACATTAAGTGTTTTAGTTTGTTGTTTGTGGTTTCTACATGAACGTGCACCAAATTGTGACATTACATGTAAGTCTCATTTCTGAGTTTTGTTAACTTCCTGAAAAGAACCCTTGCAAATGCAACAAGTTCAACAGAATGCGATGTCTTTCAAATTTGTTAAACCCCCCCCCCCCCCCTTTGGCAAATTATCCCAAGTGCTGCAACAATTACACAACAGGCGAAACAAATTTAAAATGAAATAAATGAAAGTAATGAAAACTAATAATAGTTAAATACTCTTAATTAGCCTGATTTACTATGCAGTTTCAATGCAAACCTGCAGCCCAAATGTACTTTGTATACATATGCCCCACGCAAGCTTGTAGCAGATCCAAGAGTTCTACAATTCTGTATTTCCTTTCTCCTGTCAGTGTGTGTGAGTTTTGTCCAGCCCGTTCCAGCAAGGTGCCAAAACAAAATGGACCTGTTTGGCCTAGTAGCCATTCTGGCCAATAAGGACTCTTGCAAGGAGTGGCTTCGACAAAAGGGCCTCCTTGTCATTCCAGGAAGCGAGCTGAGATGCGCCAAGTGCAGTGGCCATTTCAAGGAGGTGAAGCGCAGCAGACGCTCCGACGACACCAAGCTGCGGTGCTACGGCTGCAAGAGGGAGCGCTCCATTCGCATCAGCAGCTTCTTTTCCAACAGCCACCTGGACCTACGCTTGCTGGTGTGCCTTCTCTTCATGTTCAGCCACCATGCCCCGGTCGGCTTTGTGGAGACCATTCTAAACCAGTCCATCACCAGGAAGGCTGTCATTGACTGGTTTACGTTCTACCGTGACATCTGCTCCCGGTGGCTCTGGTCCCACCCACTCCAACTTGGCGGGCCCGGATGCATCGTAGAAATCAACGAGTCCATCTTCAAGGGTGCGAAGCGTAAGCGCAACGGGGAGCACACCTCACCCAGCCAGCTGGTATTTGGTGCCTGGGACAGGCGGCTAGGCAAGGGCATGCTCTGGAGAGTTCCCGACAAAGAGCAAGACACGCTGCTCCCCATCATCAAGGGGCACATCCTACCCGGTTCTATCATCTACTCCAACAGTTCTCCGGCGTATTCAACCCTCCATGAGGAAGGGTACCACCACGAAGTGGCCAAGGGCGGACGAGGGTTTAGCACTCAGAATGACTCTGGAGTGACCATCCACATCAACAGCATCAGAGGCTGGTGGGCGAACATCAAATGTGACCTTAAGAGGATGAAGGGAGTTAAGGAAGAGAAGCTGCCGCACTATCTGGACGAGCTTATGTACCGCCAGCATCGAGGAAGCAGTGACCTCATGGACTCGATGATTGAAGACATTGCCCACTTTTATCCTGTCGCAACTGAAATTGAGTAGGATTGGCTCAGCGAGTCAACTAGCTCAACTGCCAGTTTGGAGTTTGGGAAACCAGAGCCAGTGGGGGCGAATTGGCCCCACTCACTTTTTTGTCGAACACTACTGACAAATGTAGAAACTGATGCTGCAGGATACACATGCAATGCATCTCTGTATGGTGTAAATTTGGCATGCGCTCTTACAATTCTTACAACTTATTTCTACATAGAACACCACCACAAGACTGGTGCCCCCCACCCACCTCACCTCCCCTTCACCACCCCTCCACCACCTCCCCTTCACCAACCCTCCACCACCACCCTTCTCTCAAACTTTTTTGGTTTAATATTTGAAGACCTTAACATTTCAGGATATTTGGGTTAAATTATCTTTGTGTCGCCTAAACAAAGTTCTGGGAGACACTTACCAGTACAGTCCTAAATTTTGTACGGTCACACAGGTCTACGTACGTACCAGCGCAACCGGTACTTGTGGGGTACTCGAACAAAGGGAAAGGTACCCCACAAAGAGAAATCTTTAGGAAAAAGGGCACCCCACAAGTAAAATGTTTAGAAATAGTGATTAACCCTAACCGAACTCAGCCCATCAAAGTTCAACAGCAGGTTTTGTTTAAAGCTGTTGGGATAGGTACAGTACCCCTAATGTGATGGTCTTTTACACTGGGGTTGGCATACCTCCAGAAACTAAGTTCAACTGTGTGTGCGTACAATTTCCTGTGTGGATGTTGGAATTTGCCAGAATGGGTATGGTTCCTAGTAAATTAGGCTTGGGAGTTGGGGTTAAAGGACAACAATGCTTCTACCCCGGAACTCCCATCCACTGGAATGTCCCTAGACCTGTACAATGTACATGTACATGTATGTCTACAGAATTTGATGGATTTTGATGTCATTTGGATGGAGTTAAATGATTAAAAAATGCACAAAATTTGACATTTTTTAATATTGGGATTAACCGTGAAAAAGGGCGATCTGCTGGTCACTTGTTTTCCAATGTCAACCCTAACTCTCAGAATCCTCCACTCCCACTGCTACTCATCAGAACAAGAAGTTCTGTACATGTTCATGTTTGTGTACATATTTCATGTTTACTCTTTGCAGCCTGCACTAATAAAAGTGTTTCAGTTTCTGTTCATTCAAAGCAAATTTGTTCTCTTTGATCATTTTTCTTGGAGAAAATGGCCTTCATTGTACATTAACCCTAACCTCCTAGGCCCTTTTTGCTGGGATGGACCCTCAATCCTGCAAAATCCTCCAACTTCCTCCGTGTAAAAATTGGATGCAGTCTCAATACTGTACATACAGATGTACACAAGGGTCATTCTGCAAATTGGGGGTCCAATGTTTTTTTGGTGTCCCTGTTACAGTGTACCTCTGATATGCACGTAACATTTTTGTAGTCCAGGATACAGTATGACATGCATGTACATGTAGATGCCTTCTACACGTTCTATCTCCAAGAGTAATTATGTACACACTGTACCTATCAAACAAATTAATATTTTGAAGTCAACTTGAATGATATTTGCATGGCAAAATAAACAAATTACTCAAGTCAGGTGTATCAGGAACACAATTTTTGCAAATGTCCTACTTTTGGTCCCCATATGTATGGACTGAACCATAAACTACACTAGTCATGCTAGTGTCACATAGTGCCAAACTGCACTCACGGACAAAACTTCTGCCTAAGCTATGCTTCTGGGACCATGAATGCACTGAACAAGTCGGCTCCTCAAAAATGGGGTAAGAAATTTGAAATTTGCGCTTACGTGTATGTATGTACATATAATTATTGTTTTAAAGTTACAGAGGTATTAAAACAACAGTCAGTAAAATAAAAGTTATAGAAGTAATTTTTAGTTCTAAAAGTAAATTAATAAATAATTTTAAAAAAAGGTGTCCTAAATCACACTATCGCCATAATATTGATACAGGTCAGTGGGTACAGGTTGGGAAACGGTACGTCTGGTCAATTGATATTGTTTAGTGGTTGGCCTTGTATCACATTTTAACCTGAAATTAGACTCACAGTTTGTTTATTACATGCTTTTTGTGACAAACGTATGATGAAAATATGTACAGTGCCAGCACCCTTTCCAACATGCAGGTTGCAAGAACTGGAAGTATTCGGTCTTTACTCCGCGAAAAACTCAAGGAGTTTGCAAGCCTAGAGCAGTCCGAGCTCAGTTCCTCACAACTCGATAGAACTGGGAGCGAAGAGGGAGGGGACACGACTCAAGAATCTTGGCACCTTGTGGAGAATGGGCAAAGGGAGCAAACTGTAGATGATGAACCTTTGGCAAACTCGGACGAGATGAAACGCCCTTATAACGAGGAGGTCGAAGAGCAACAGATTGTATTCACGCCCGAAGGAGATGCTGGTGGAGAGAAAAGTCAGGCGGGAAACGACGATGCTGCCAAAGATGGGACAACTCCCCCGAAGGTTCCGAGGCGAGAGGAGGAGGAATCCAAGAAAAGGGCAGGACAGGGCGAGGCATCGACATCCAATCCAGAAACAGCTCAGCCTTCAAAAGGTGATTGCTGAATCGATTTATGCATACTTTCGCCTGTTCCAGAGTCACCTGCAACAAAATACTACCTGGACTGACTCGGGTCTATCCAGTAATAATTTGGTTTCAGATATTTATTAATTTTCCAGAAAAAGCTCGGCTTTCAAAATGTGATTGCTGAAAGCTCAGCTTTTTAAAAGGTGATTGCTGAATGGATTTTAACTTTCACCTGCTCCAGACTCACCTGCAACAAAATACTATTTGGACTGACTGGGGTCTAACCAGATATAATGTGGTTTCAGATATTTATTAATTTTCCATTGAAGGAACTCGATACTTTGAGTCTTTTAAACAACAGCATTAGTCAATTTTTCATGCGTAATCACTAAAAACATTTTTTATACATCAATCTTGATTCTTATCTGTTGAAGAACATATGGCTCTGAAACGTGAGTCTGAAATAGGCCATAGTCAGAGGGTGACTGCTCTATGTTCCGACACCCCTATGTTCCGACAACCTAGATTGTGTTACTCCCGGTTAGGGTTAGGGTTAGGGTCAGGAATAGGAATATGTGCAGTCGGAACATAGGGGTGTCGGAACATAGAGGTGTAACCAGTCAGAGATATGGAGTATATATGCGTACTCATTACTACTTTTTATTGCTAAAAGTTGTTCACTTTTTAATTGTTTTCCTCCGTTTTTTTAATTCTTTGGCGCAGGTAAAAGTAAAGGAAAGAAAAAGGCTCCAGAGAGCAATGAGGGGGATTCATGGGCCAGAACCAAGTTCACTGTGCAGGACCTGGAGGGTCACAATGATATCATCTATGCAGTGTCATGCGACGGATCCAGACTACTCACTGGCAGGTAAGAGCATGATGATTGAGACCATTCATGCCATTAGGCCACAAAAAAAAGTCTCCGGTTTCTGGTATGGAGCTTGTCCAAAAAGTGGTACGGCGACGCGGCTTTTTTTTTTTTTTTTTACCCGACTTTTTTGCTTCAAATGTCGGCTGATGACTGCAAATGGTGCCCGACTAAACTTCAACTTCGTGCAAATATATGGGAGTCCTGAGAGGCCACATAAAGCTTATTCTCGATCATAACCCCATCTAAAAACACGTTGAAATTGCACAGCAGCAGAATTCCAGTCAAACCAGTGAGTTTGGCGGTTTTGAGACATCATCTTTCATTAAAAAAAAAACTTTTTCATTTTGCCGACGCGCATGGCTACGGCGACGCGGGCGCATACCAGAAACCGGAGACTTTTTTTTTTGGCCTTAGAAATTACAATGTATGGGAATACAGAGTATAATACACATAGCTCGGAAATACTTGATGATTATACAGGGTGAGTCAAACAAACAAAACCAAAATGTCGGGACTATTGTTTTAGTGAAGTTATGCATGTAGCACTTTCAAAATCTAGGATATAAAAGCCCTTTCTTTTAGTACAAGAATCATTCAAATCACTCATGTACTTTTCAAGTTTCTGAATTTAAACACAACCACCGTTTTAAAGTTCTGTCCATGGATCACAAGAAGGTAAGTGTTCTTTCAGCAAAATGAAACCAAATCACATAGGGATGTGTGTGAATTGTTGTGGTTTTGCTGAAAGAACGCGCACCTTTTTTGGTGATCCGTGGACAGAACTTTAAAAAGTGATTGTGTTTAAAATTCGGTAAATTGAAAAGTACATGATTGATGTGAATGATTCTTGTACTAAAAGAAAGCTTATGAATTGGGCTTTCATATCCTAGATTTTGAAAGGGCTACATGCAGAACTTCACTAAAACAAAGGTCACGACATTTGGGTTTCGCTTTTTTTTACTCACCCTGTACAATGTTTTTGTGTGCGTTTATTTCACTAGACTGACATATCCACATTTTGATGTGAAATACTCATTGCCCAAAGTATACCAGATAAAATAACCACATATAACGGTGGTCTAACAAGCAAGTTATTTCTGACCGGCATGCGTCTCCCGTTCTGTTCGACAGTTAGAATTGATGCCCGTTTGGAATGCTGCTCCCAGAAAAATTGCAATCAAACTACATGTAGGCTGAACCACAATTCCTGATCAAACTTGGGCCTGGCGGAATGATTACATTGCCCTATTGTCAACTAATAGTTTGCTGTGATATCACTCTTATATTTTTATCCTGATTATCATCGCCATTCAAGCAATTTAGCTTCATACCACTTGAATGCAAAAAACTACCTATGACTAGCTCTCCATCAACCTCAGTTGCTTGGAACTCGGTCCACTTCTTTGTGTTCCATTTTGTTTGCTTCATTTGTAGTCGTGACACCATGGTCAAGTACTGGGACTTGGACAAGGGCACAGAGCTGAGAAGCCTTGGCGGCCATTCGGGAACAGTCACCTCGGTCATTTTGCTTTCCACTGAAGAAAGCACACAGTTAGGTGAGCGGATGTACATGTACATATAATCATATTTTAATGCACTATCCACTGTGTATCACTTAACAGATTTTGAACTACCCCGGTAACTAGCAGACCCAAATGGTAAGACTGTTACGACATCTGTATTTGTGAGTAGGAAATTAACCCTCCTATGGAAACATGCATTCTGAGCCATGCTGTTACTTGGGTCAGTATTGCTCAAGTGACCGATTGGTTTGTTAAAAGTATGGGAGGGGAAGTGGAAGGAAATTTTGACCGTTTGTGACCTTTTAAACAGCAGGAGGGCGTAAACAGCAGGAGGGCGTAAATCTGTGTTTTACCCCCATTAAGACAAAATTCATAGTGCAAACCTGTTATTTGAATTTGGACTTGATTGAGCCACCAACGATTGACGATCACAAAATTATAAAAAAGTACGTTCATTTTTTCCTCAGCATCTCAATTTGACGTGCCTGCCAATGACCGCATCGCCGTCACCGGATCTAAGGATTGTCACATCAAGGTCTGGTCCCTGGAAACTGGCCAAGCAGTGCACTCTGTCTACACATACAACCCTGTGGAGTGCCTGGGGTATATATCAGACAGGGCTCTCATCGTGTCAGGCTCAGGTATTGTCATCTCCTTCTGGTGTCAGAACTTTGTGATAGACACTGTACAATGTAGGTTGTGCCATATAATAGCCTCCTGTATGGAATACCAGGATCACAACGGAACAAACTGCAATGTATAGACTAATTCGGCCACAGCCCGTTTCTGAGGTGGCACCAGGCTCGCACAAGTTGCGCTCAGGTAGTATGCATGCAGTCCGGGCTCCTTCGACCAATAGTGGTACCAAAATGCGTGCGCGCCTTGTCTTTAAGAATGGGGGGGGGGGGGGGGGGGGGGGGGAAGGGGGGGGGGGGCTGGATACCATCATACTAAATGGGGATGCCGTTCAAGGCTGATGAGACTGGGCATTATAAGACAATTGGTCACGCTATGGTGGTTATTTGTTGCGGCCTATACATGTATGTTGATAAACACATGATTTTGCCAACAGGACAATATAAATTTTGGCAACACTCTGCAGGCAAAATGAATGCACATTGTTTGCTGCTGTTTGAACTCTACACCATACACACGCTATCCACAAACCCTAGCATGTTTGTTTATGGTGTACATCAAGGATTTTATATTGTTCCTCTTCCCTTATCCTTTGTTTATACTCTACCTTTTTTGCAACAGCTCTCATTGGTGTTGTACACGTTTTCTAACCGAGGAGTCCTCGATTCAGTTCCTAACCTCGATTCATTGATGATGTTGCACGTGTGTGTCCTCGATTTACACCATAAACAAAGGCAAACGGTTATGTGCAAGGGTGTGATGTGTCCTGCACACTGGAATTCAAGATCAATTAAAAGATCAATCTTTTAAAAATTTGTATCCGTAGATGGCGGCAAAGTGGAACTGTGGGACATGAAGACCGGGAGTAGCGTGTTCTCAACCCTTGGACATGACGATGCTGTCACATGTATTCAAGTCAGTCACATTCTGTACTTCACAGACATTGATATATTTTCTCCTTGAATCTTCTCTCTCATTCCTGTATCTCCATCCCTGCCCCTGATTTCTCTACCACAATCATTTCGGGAAAAAATATTGCAACCTGACGCCACTTCCACGATTGTGTACAAAGTCTATATGGAGAGTAAAAAAAAAAGAAAGGATTTCCTAACAAAATTGGAAATGTTTGTCAGTCCCAGATTCATGTATTATCATTTTTGCAATGAACATGATGAACGACCTTCATTGAGATGATATATGAAGAAAAATTGGTGTCAGGTTGCAACATTTTGTCCATTATTTCTTCAATACTAAAACCCACTACGGCTACGTCAAAATTCAGAAAATAAAAACCTCGTTGATCAAATATTGAGATTATAAGATGGAATTTTGCGTCGGGGTGATATAAATCAAATTAGGTTTTGCCCTTCACCGACGTTTAAACACTGTATACTCAGTGTGTTACCTCCCGAGTGAAAGTTGGAAAAAATCACTCGGGTGATTTTTTCCAACTTTCACTCGGGAGGTAACACACTGAGTATACAGTGTTTAAACGTCGGTGAAGGGCAAAACCTAATTTGAAATATTGAGATGTCAATTTTTTTAAGTGGGCTTAGCCCTTTACTGATGTAATTTAAAAGGCACTGTATACATTAACATACCAGGGCAGACGGCACTTTTGTAAAGGTTTGGCTGAATGTTTTGACGATATTTTGCTTAACGTTTTGCATATTAACTTATTGGCAACCGTTCTGCATTGTATTACATTGTATATTTTCCCTGTTAAATCCATAAACACATCCAGTGCAAGGGCAGTTTTAGGCCATAAAGGGACCGAAAACTAGGGCGGTTTGTGCGGTACATGGAATAATGGCTTAACTCTGACTCCCCTTTGTTTGCACGCAGGTCAGCGGCACCAGCGTCTACACAGCATCCAGTGACGGCATCATCAAACTCTGGCAGTTACGTGACAACTCCCTCCACCCGACCTTTGTCTCGGAGAACATCTCAAGCACCTCATCCAGTCACCTGCTGGCCAGACGCCACGTCCGGTCCCTGGCCGTCCACGGAGAGACTATCTACTACGGGGACGACGGGTTGAATGTCAAGGCACTGGATTGGAAGAAAGGTAACTGAGTAGACTTGATGTGCTATAATGTGCTATAATGTACCCATTACCAGGGTTTGACCTTATTTTTTTTTCACTAGCCACCCGGGCTACTGAAACAGACTCTTAACTATCCCGCTGGCATTTTCACTGGCCCGCATGTTTTTCTTTTATAGAGCGTCTCATGAACAACAATGTGTAAAAAGTTTTTCCTGGGGCAATCTTGTCAGTGTTTTTAATAAACACATATAAAAATTTAACCCTAAACATTTAGTAAAATTAAACACAAAGTGATACAAGTTCGCTATCTGAATTTAATGATTTATTTCTTCCTGTCCTTTAATCTTTGCCGTAGCCCAGTAATTTTTGACTCGCAAGCGGGGCTACTTAAGGAATAGTTTGTAACTTGCCTGCCACTGTTTTGACTAGCATTTGGCTATCGGGCTACCACTAAAGTCGAACCCTGCCCATTACACAACCACGTACCTGGGTAACAGGTACCCATTACTCGGGTACCTGTTACTTGACCGAAAATACTAGGTACTTATACTTGGTTCCATTTTTTGGTTTAATAATAACAGCGGATCCAGAGGGGGGCTGCCCCCCTATTTTTCATTTTTTTTTTTTTTTAGGATGTACGTTTCCTTTTTTTTTTCTGCTGTCAACTGATCTTAATCACTTCAAAGATATTTATGTTTGGTTTTCGCCTCCATTTTTGGTGCCTTCCCCCCCCCTCCCCCCTCTTCGTGTTAATGCTGGATCCAACACTGAATAATAATAATAATAATTTATTCTTAATATAGCGTTTTACATTAACATCTTAAAACTCTTTACAAGACTTCAAAACTACATAAAAAGTAAATCAGTTAATTAAACAAACCTTCGCAGATAAAAACACAACCTTTCTGAAAGGGACACAACTCTATTATTGATAAACGTCGCTGATAAAAACTGTAAAATAAAAGACTTTTGCACCGATGGATCTACACAAAAAATGTACCTAAAGTGTTTTTACACCATCTGACACTAATTAAACAATAATAATAAAACATATTTTACATACGAGACTTTTGTCGCGCGACAATGCTGTGCGTTTTTCTAAATACGCACACATCAATGAGTGTGTTTACATTAATACGCGACTAAGTCGTGTGTCTTATCACTCATTCATTTGTGCATTTATGCAAAAAACGTGCGACAGTGTCGTGCTCCAGTGTCCCGCTCCCATGTGGTGCTCCCGTGTTGCATATGTGTAAATTGGCTTTAACAACCCGACATCAAAGCCCATTCCCCACAATGAAACCCGTGATCCCAAGCAAAAACTGAAAAGTTTCATGTATAGTTTCCATCCTTTTTGTTGTACTTGTCGTAGCCTTAGTCCATAAGCTCAAGAACCACCTAGGAGACTTTGGCAGCACCGATGCCATGTGTAGCACCAAGGATCTACTGATCTGTGCAGGGTATGATCTGGATAACGGCTGTGGCTTCCTGAATTGTAAGAGAATCCTCCTTTGATTATATACTGACTGTGCTCTTCAACAAATTCAGTTTTTTCTTCTGATTAATTTTTATGCTTTACTTTGACCGAAGTTTTTTTTTTTCTATTTTGGAGGTCTGTACTGCAGCCCGTCGTAAAAGCCTTTTGTTTTGGGTAGCTTTTTCTCTTGTAATGCATTATCAGATATCTTGAGCTATTGCAAGGCTGTAAATAATTGAATATTTGCAAAGAAATTATTCCTAAATTTAACACTACCCCCATAGGCCCTCTGGCTAGGATGCAACCTCAATTGCCACAAAGAAAAAAATGGATTCAACCGCAATCCTCCAAAATCGTCTGTTATTTCTTCAGTTTGCTGGCGAGGGCGACCACCGCCTCAATCCTCCAAAATCCTCAGCCAATTACTGCTTTGGTTTGAAGCAGTGCGGATGAAATCCGAGAAAAACACAGGGCTGATTTATGCATGGCTGAACATAACCAATGCAGGATATGGCCTACTGGCTTGACGTAATGCATCCTCCACAAAAAAAACTATACATCTTTGCAATTCATCCTCAATCCTCTAAAATCATCCAAAACTGGCAGGAGGATTTTGGAGGATTGAGGAGGGTTAGGGGTAGGTATTATATACCACCTTTGCAAACATCAACAAACAAAACTACCAAATTATTATGAAATACCTTACTTGACTGTGAGACTTGAACAATAGTCCCAAGCATCCTGTGAAATCATGGCACCTGGTGTGCCTTCATTTTCAAGAAAAGTGGAAATGTTGTCACAGTATCAATTTCCAACGATGCTCAGCCAACCAACTTTGGAAAAAAAAAGACTTTTTTCAAATACTGCCCCTAATTTTCTGAATTTAGTTAGTCCACATTTTGTTTGCAATCTGTTACACATCCGTGAATGGATGCAAGCCAGCTAGTCTGGTTCCCTGACCTGACAAGTTTTCTTTTCGAGCTTCTTGCAACCGTATTATCTCACCATTCAAAACTTACTTTGCCCTTTTTGTTAAATCAAGTTTGGAGTCTTCCTGAGGAGGTGTACCTTGCTACGCTCAATGATCAAGACATCAGCCGCATTGTCACCATGGACCACACGCAGACAAAAGAGGGCGCCCTGCGCGTCGTCACCGGAGGCCAGGAGCTGAGAGTGTGGGATAGGATCCCCAAAAAGCGATACAGGTGCGGGTTCCCTTCGCGATGTATTTGATGATTTTTTTTATAAAAAGCTTCATCCTCTCCGAGTGATCCTTCATTTTAAAACCATGTGTAATAATTGTCATGCTTATATAGTGCTTTTCATTGTATCAACAATCTCAAAGCACTTATTATTCAGCTGTTCATCAGGCCATGAGACCACACGGCAGCCGATATCAGCATACATTGGGTCCTCTACCCCACAGGTACCCATTTGTACTCCTGGGTGGAGAGAGGCAATTGTAGTTAAGTGTCTTGCCCAAGGACACAAGCACCATGTCCAAGTAGAATCAGCTGCAATCAAAGTACCTACTTTCATGACAGAAACCATGCTCAAAGTGAAGTCAGGAGTGGTACCAGATAAGTAACCCTGTGAATTTCTTCTACCTGAAATTGTATCTTTTTGAAAGAAAACTAACATTGAATAATAATAATAATAATAAAAACCATTCTTATATAGCGCATATCACCGTGAGGTCCCTATGCGCTCTCATGAAATCAACAATTATACAAATTGAACAGATATGTTTTGACCCGGGTTTTGAATTGTTTCGATGTTTCGGCCTGTTTGACAATATCTGGTAAGTTGTTCCATAGCTGAACTGCAGCTCATTGGAAGGAGCGTGAACCATAGGACTTAGTTTTAATGACTGGGGGTGACAACAGAGATTTATGGGTAGAACGCAGATTTCTAGCTGGTTGGTACTCCTGAACTAAACTTTGAAGATAAACAGGGGCTATACCATGGATACATTGATATGTGAGAACCAAACCTTAAAATCTATTCTTGCCCGTATCGGCAACCAGTGCAAATCATGGAGAATAAGTGGGTTTTTTTTTTAAAAGAGTGCCTACGGTATGCGTTTTGTTTGTAGAGTTAGCAGTGGAATCTAGTTACAGGACCCAAAAACTGTGCACATGTTTTCTCTGTTTTCTAAAAAGTTATGGTATCCACTGAGCTGAAACTTCAGCAGGTCAATAGTTGTCATGCACCATTGCAGGGTTCCCAGCCACTCTGGAAATCAGGGAAAACCTTGAAAACTAATATCCATTTTTCTGGTCAAGGAAAACTCAGGGCATATGGGAAAAACACCAAAAATCAGGGAAAAGTTGGGGAATTGGACACATATTTGTTGTGGAATTTGGGAAATTTCTCAGGCATGCCGTGAATCCTCTTTTACCAGAACAACAGGGTTTACCGGTTATATTCGGGTGTTTTATCAAGATTGTACCAGGATTTCTGCTCTCTCTTATCTCAAGATTCAGACATGCAACTTTTCCTCGGATCTGCTGATTTCCTCGTTTTTTTACTTCTCATGAATGCCATTACAAATTGAAAAACACTGTACAAAGTCTTGTGTGGTTTGGAGTTTCCTCGTTTTTCCTAAATTCCCAGTTGCATGTCTGAAGATTAAATCTCCTTAGGGCAGTTTATCACCAGATGAATGCCTACCACCAACAGGGAACAATTAGTATTGCTTGATTGAACGACTTGTTTGGCAAACCTGAATCATTCTTCAGTGGCCTAAATGCACCTGGACTTTTCATAAATTTAATATCCAACGTAATTTTCGTTTTCGTTCAGTAATGAAACCACGTTTTCTTTTTTGGATCATTCCAAATTGATGCACAAACAACGGAAATCCTGAATTTGTCAGACTGTAGTGTGGTCGCTGTGGCGAACGATTTACGGTCACGCATGCGTGAAGCAGAATGCAAATGTATGAATGCCTACCCAAAGAGGGTGGACTGGCTTCCTGTGTTGTAACTAATCGCCTTAAGAGATTAAAGGGAATATACATCATTTGCTTTTGCTGTAATTTTCAGAAATGGATGGAATTGGGGGGTTGGAAATACATTATATAGCAAATATAGTTACACTGACTTTTTTGAGGTATTGGGTTCGAAAATGCTATAAAAACCAAGAAAAACAATCATTTTCCTGTAGTCTGGTTCCCTGACTCCATATAAGAAGAAACAGAGCAGTTTACATACATTGGGGAATTGTAAGGTCAGGGAACCAGTCTAGCTGGCTCGTACCCGTTCATAGGTTTGTAATCGATTGCAAACAAGTGCGATGGTCAATTGGGGCCAGTATTTGAAAAAAAGCCAGTTTTTTCCAACGCTCATCGGCCGATCAGCATTGGAAATTGATACAAAAATACCACTTTTTTTGAAAATGACAGTATACCAGGTGCCATGATTTTACAGGATGCTTTACACTGTCATTCACTAACAGTCCAACAAGGTATTTCAAAATGATTTGGTAGTTTTATTTTTTGATGTTTGCAAATGTTGTATTTTCCCTTAACCAGATAATGTTGCACTGTGCTCAATTAAAGATAAACATCAAAAATCCTGGTATAAAAAGGGCTCAGGCTTTTAAAAAGGAAAATCACCTCATGGAAAGATCAAGGAAAACTCAGAGAAGTTTTTTTTCATAAATTGCTGGGAACCCTATCTTCAGATTTTTGTGCACTTTTGTTGCTTCAAAGGAAAACAGTGCACCAAAAAAAATAATCTACGTACCTTTTAAAAATCTCTCTCCCCAGTCCCCAAGATGCAGTTCCGACGGAATTCAACTTCTCATTCTCAGTCAAGGCTCAAGATTCCGACGCCGACTCGGACACGACCGACATGAGCGACAGCGAGGGGGGCGGAGCTGACGAGAGGGGAGGGCGGAGATGGTCGCAGGGAAGCGGAGGTTCCACTAAAGCGTCTTGGTCGTCATGGTGCACGCTGGTCTAGTCACACCAACGCCATCATTTTTGAGGTACTAATTAGGGGGCGAGGCAAGAGAAGACCTTTGGGAATTTCCTTGTCGGGTGTGACCCTTTATTGCTATCTATGCTGTAATGAACTGCTTGGGTTTTTTTAATTTAAAGGTATTCTGAAGTTGTCAAGAATTATGAATTGATCTGGTTAAGTTTGGATTGCAGTTTTTATGTGGGAAAAATGGGTGCATGATTTCACATTACTGGCCAATTCTTTGAATGAGGGGAAAGGTTCATTGTCTAGATGTTCCCTAGGGCAAATTTATTTTTTGATATTTCGCACTTTGTTTTTCTTTATTTTGTTTTAATTGCAAGGCGTTCTGGCAAGATGAGACACAACTGGGCAGAGGTCGAAATGAGCGGGGTTTACAGGTTTTAGGAAAGAGAATGAAGTTCCCCCTGCAACACTGTTGACAAGTTATGCTGTTTAAAGTTTGCACTTATTGACATGTCAAAAAGTAAAATACGGAGAAAAAGGCCTTTAAAGATATAGTCCATCATTTGTAATTTGTGCATTTTGTTCGTTTGAAGCAACAAAAGTGTTCAAAATCTAATGAAGGATACTGAGCAACTAACCTGATGAAGTTTCAGCTCAGCTTCAGCTGTATATTCCGAGAAAAACAGCATTGTAGGATCTCAATTTCAAATCAAAAGTTGCTAAATCATGTTTTGAATTGTTTTAAATTGCAGCTATACGCGATGTCGCGCACTGATCCGACGAATTATAGCAACCGCGCGCGCCTGTGCGTCGTGCCAATGCTTGCGCGCGCTGCGCCGAATAACAAAACAAACTACTAATTTAAATTTTCCTACGGTGCGTCTTAAGACGCACCGTTGGAAAGGCCTTCTTTCGTTGATTACTTCAACATGATACAGTGTAGCTTGCCAGAACGATTAATTTCTCAGGGAGTTTAGTCCACTTACTATCTTTCAACCAAGTATGTTTTTCAACAATAATACGCCAGTTACTTTTTCGGATGGCTGCAAATGATGGACTATAGCTTTAAAGTTTCCAGTTTTGTAGTCGTGCAAATGAAAGATGCCAATTGGTCTTCCTTAAATACACTTTTATTCCTTGATTTTGTACACTATTTATTGAAAATATGTGTGGAAAAAGGTAAAATATCAATGAATCTGAAAATCGAAAAAAATCACCCCCATTCGGTTTTTTGCATTTTTCTTCACTATGGCCTGTGCCCATTTCCGTCTCCTTTTGTCAGAACGCCTCACAAATGTTTCAGACCTGGCCAACTTGTAAAACATTTCAAGTTCATCTTTTTTCAGCAATAAACATAGATTTGCAGGATTCTTTGTGCGCAATCAATTTTAATGACTCCAACACAGAATATAGCCAAATTAGAACTTTTCGTTTACAAACTTTTATTTTACAAAGGTGCCGCATAGGCACAACAGAAATTAAATAATAATAATACAATAGTAATAAAATTAATGAATTTATCTGAATAAGCAAGTTTAGGTGACAACAGAGGACTCCTTTTTATTATGCCTTTTTTCCATGTAAATTGCAGACATTTTTCAATAATGTATTTTGTAGTAAAGCCTTGATTTGCTTGCCACAAGTTAAATTAGGATTAAAAAAAGTAGATACCGTTTTTTTTAACTTTTTAGTTTGGACTATGTGATCGATCAGGCGGTCTGCCACATAGTCTTAAGGAAATCTTCTGTTTGTAGTTTGCAAGCTGAGAGAAAACATCTTTTTAATGTATTTTTGGCTAGCTAGCCAGGGGCTATTTTTTCTAATAAGAACTTCCTCCTGAGACAGCGATAAAAGATGGAATTGAGAATCTTCCAATAAATTGTAACAAAAAAAAACTGAAACAAAATTTAATTGTCAACAAATAAGTGTTGTTGCAATTAACTGTATTTGTCTGTATGAAACTATGCACGCTTTTTAGTCATCGTATCATAAGCAGTTTCACTAATTATAAAACCTTGGAGACGTATGGAAAACCATTGGTAATGCATCCTCATGCACCAATGAATGCGAAATGAATATAAATTCACAAAGCAATTCGCTGCAAAACTTGTTGAAATGGGTGCAACTTTTTGCCAGTTAGCAGTTTGAACACCTGCTGGGACGTCACCAATTTCTTTTGTCGTTCATGCTCACATCTGTACCGAGTATGAACCGGTGTCAAATTTGAACTTCCTATAGACTCTCACACATGTGAACCCGACCAAAAGTTACCCATCCACTTCGCAATTTGTGAACACAGGTTACCAGACACATCCTGCACATTGCAATCAACCTCGTGCCCCGTGGGTACGATCTTGCAGCGCCATGTTGTTTCCCATCATGCCTTGCGCGATCGTAACCCCTGGAATTGTGTAATTTAAATGTGCCAAAATATGGCACATTATAATTAGGCTGCAGTTTGTCCATTTTACAACGCCATCTTTAAAATCTTGAAAGTTGTGATTTTGAAGAATCAATCCTTTCCACAACGTTTGGACGTTGTGTTAATTAGCAAATATTTGTATTAAATGTACGTACCCCTTTCGTGCCTTTACAACCACAGATACAGGGGTTTTGTTAGCGAAAAACGCGGCTGACATAATCTATATCGTACAGGCATTGCGACTTTTGAATCATAATTTTTTTTTCGTACGTGACGTTACGTGCAAAGCACGCGAGCGCATTATGGGCGCGCCCGGCGTGCAATCTTCGAAATGCCCGCGCAGTACGCTGTGAATAGCCATTCAGCGTCATTTACGTCATCATCACAGCCAGGGGTTAGTGTAAGGAACGAGCACGCACCCCTGGAGTCGAGGCTGTATTGCAATGACAGTGAGCTTTAACAAAGTTGTGAACACAAAACATGTGACATGATTGGAACGCAGCAAACGGCCGTGTCCAAATTACTGGGCAACGGCTTAAAATTACACACGTCTCTATGGTAGCGGCTGCAGCCCTTCCCATAGACTCATGTGTAATTTCAAGCCTTGGCCTAGTAATTCAGACACTGCATGCTGACACCACTGTACAACTTAACAGCAACGGACTTTGAATTTTTTACAGGACTAAAGTAAATACAGTCTCAGTTTGACTTCGTCCAGAGCTTTCCACTTCCCCTTAACCTGTAGAGAAAGAAAAACAAAGCATGGTGTCGGTGTTAGAAAGAACTATTTAGGGACTCCTTGCAAGAAAAATAGATCGATGCTGTGTTTTGGCCTCTCTCAACTTGATGTCAAGTTTTTAGCCAATAACTATCGTTCGTAAATACCTGAAAAAGTATATTTCTTCCTGTTTAATAGTCGAGAGCCAGTCACGTGGGTGGTTTTAAACCACTGTTTAAACACTGCTGAGGAGTGTTTCAAACCGGCTAGTAATTAAGGTAGCCCCTGAATCAGGACAAAAATTTCTGAATGTAAAAATGTATTCATCAAAGTTTGAAGGTTTTGAAGTAAAAAAAAAAAAAAATATAAATGTTGATATAGCAATTAATTTTACATCGTTTGTTACTTAAATTCATCTAAAAAGAACAAACGTGACTTAATAGAGTAAAATGTCGCAGTAAAATTGTGTCCACTCGCTCGCAATCCGGTGTGTAGCTGTAGCTCCATGCATGTACATGTACCTGTACACGCAATGCAGCCATGGCAGCTAGCTACTGCTAGCGCTACACGTACACAGAAATGACTGCACATAGAAATGATGATACATAATCATGACCTCACACACAAGTGGCCGGTCCTGTTGCCGCCAAAACACAACCGCGACAACCACAGCTTAGTGAGTTAGTATTAGAGTAAACCTCCGCACATGTTAGGTTTCAAGAAAATCAACCGTCCCCGTACTTCAGCGTAATGTGGTGACCATGATGACAATTGAACAAAGCAACTTGAATTTAAGCAAGCATAAAAGGAGGACATGATGTCCATGTCCTTGTGTTTTGTTTTTCTTCCAAACTCACCCTTTAATTTTGGATGACTTCTTGACCGGCTTCGTCGCTTGTACCTCCATTTCCCGTGTGTCGGCTGCCATGTGTTGCTCTTCCACGTCTTGCGAGGTTGACGACGATGAGGCCTTGATGGCCTTCTTGATACTTGCAACCTGTCAAAGGTCAAAGGTCATACAGGTTAAAGGTTAGCATGAGGCATGTTCATTCTTCATGCAAGCCTGAATATGAAGCAAAAACACGATTAGGCCTTGCCCACGGTCCACATTCGCAACAATGTGCACCTCTTAACATTCGCTCGTACCCCCCGCCCTGCAAACAGGGCGCTGGTAAGGTCTGATGAGTTTCACAGAATCTTGTGAAGGAAGTACAGATTGACCTTCGCATGCAGCTAGCGGGCGCTACGCATGATGGGCACCGGAAGCTAGTTTGTGTGACGCGTTCACGTCACAGGTCACGCAAATCTATCCAATGAGAGCTCAAATGACGTCAGCCCTTACCAGCGTCCTGTTTGCAGGGCGGGGGGTACGAGCGAACTCTAACACTGCATGTTCCAGACGTGCATGTCCTAAACAAATGCACGTAGAACGTGAATCACACTTTAATTAGTCAAAACATCATGGGTGGTGCTTTACGGATCGGTCCAAAGATAATCGCAGTATGCAGCGGAATTTTTGCCAAAGTGGACATGTGGTTAGCCAAGCAATTACTTGCTGTGATGAAACGATTTTCACTTTGTGTTCACTTCGTGCCTTATCTGTGATGTTTTACCCTCTTATTTTATAACTGTATTTTCAGGTTTTCTTTCTAGAGAAGTGAACATGAGAAAAAGTGCTGATGTTGCCACAACCACCAGGTGCCATTTTGCCTCACGCATGTTGGTATACATAGATTATTACAAATGGTGTGCAGGGAACCAGGAAAGTGTCCTTCACACAATCTCCTTGTAGCTTTAACAAAGCGCCCTCTTTCGTTTAAGCATGGAGTCCATACTGTGAGAATGCAGCCTCACTGAGATTCAAAACACTAACCAATGCATGCAAGATTCCGGACCAACTTCATGACGCTGCCAAGAACAGATTTATGCTAAGCGCAAACAATATTTGTTCAGCAAATATGGGTTACCAACCAATATACCATACAATGTGTATTGTCAATGACTGGTTCTCCACTTGTTTTTGCTCAGCAGATAAATGTATCAAGCAGTATTTCATGCTTGGCATCTCTGTGAATTGGGCTTCGGTCGGAAAGAATATTGCAACCTGACGCCAATTTTTTTATTTCATATTATCATCTCGATAACAGTCAGTCATTGCAAAAATGTTGAAAAGACATGAATCTGGGACTGAGAAACATTTCAAATTTTGTTAGGAAAATAACGAAATATTTTCTTGACTCTCCATATACTTTGTACACAACCTCTGAAGTGGTGTCTGGATACTACATTCTTTCCCTTCGGTCTGTCGTATTTGAATTCACTTTTTGTGTTTACACAGGAATAAACCGGCTCCAAGACTTCACCTCTTGTTCAATCTGTTGTTTTGTCTTGACGCAGTGTTCCCTGTGCTTGTTGGCTCGTAGGATCTGATCCTCGATGTTGCCCAGTACTGCTTCGCAACCGTCGCACCTGCAATATATCACATTGCACTTGATATTGGTTTTGCAATTTATAACAAAACTTGTGTGTCTTTCAAATGCCAATTATCATAAGATGCACAATATCAATCTCAATGTTATCTCCTATAACGTGTAAGAATAGGAAGTTGTTCTAGCTTTTTAATATTTGGGGGGGGGGGGGGGTTGGCTTCAACTCAAAAACAAACAAAAATAGGTGCAGCCTGGAACTGATAATTATCCATGTACATTGATAGGCCCAAAAAAAAAGTCTCCGGTTTCTGGTATGCGCGCGCGTCGCCGTAGCCATGCGCGTCGGCAAAATGAAAAAGTTTTTTTTTCAATGAAAGATGATGTCTCAAAACCGCCAAACTCACTGGTTTGACTGGAATCCTGCTGCTGCACAATTTTAACGTGTTTTTAGATTGGATTATGGTCGAGAATAAGCTTTATGTGGCCTCTCTGGACTCCCATATATTTGCACTAAGTTTAGTCGGGCACCATTTGCAGTCATCAGCAGACATTTGAAGCAAAAAATTCAGGTAAAAAAAAAAAGGCCGCGTCACCGCACCACTTTTTGGGCAAGCTCCATACCAGAAACCGGAGACTTTTTTTGTTGGCCTGAGCTATGTACCATGTACATTATCCATGTACATCATGTACATTTTTAGCTGTTTAGTTAATGTTTAGTTAAGGAATAATTTCTTCACAAATTTCGAATTATTTGCAGCCCGAAAATACCCAAGTTCTCGCAGGGTAGAATGGTTCCAATCCTCTATTAAATTGTGGACAGCAACTGCCTGATATTTTTGATATACTTGCTGCTATTTTTTGTACCAAAGCATCCCAAATTTTAGCCTTTTTTCGGAAGGTTGCAGACACCAAAATATAAAAAAATAAAATTGATAAAATGAAACACTCATAGGTCACAATTCGTGGGAGAACAAAACTGACCTTTAAAAAAAAAAATATCTTGAATACAGCTAACACCCACCATTCCTGTAAGACATTGACTATGTCCGCCACCACCTCAGGCTTAGTGTCCCTGCCGATGGCGTAGTCTATCTCCAATTCTTGGTTCTTCTGATCCAGCTTGCCGCGTATCACGTCAGCATAGATGGTCTCTATGATTAAGTCCTAAATAGAAGTTGAAAAGTAGTAAACACTCCGATCAAGGTTTTAAATTTAATTCAAGAAGTACATGTAAATGTTAACAGCCTGGGCAGACAGAAATCTACATACAGTGTAAACTGAAATATCAATCTTAAAGGGAATGTACAGCATTTGCTTTTGCTTCAAATTTCATAAATAAATGGATTTGGAGGATTAGGATGTTATAGCAAATATTGTTAAACTGACTGTTTCACGTTTTGGGCTTGTAGATGCTGGAAAAACCAGGAAACCCAATCATGTTCTTGTAGTCTGGTTCCCTGACCCCACTTTATTATGAAAAGGAGAATCTATAGACTTTGGGGAATTGTGAGGTCAGAGAATCAGCCTAGCAGGCTTGTACCCCTTCACAGGTGTGTAATCAATTGCAAAGAGTTTTGCAGCAAAGAGTTGCAAGCAGTTTTTGAAAAAAGCCAGTTTTCTCCAACGCTGGTCGGCCGAACAGCGTTGGAAACATACCATTTTTCTTGAAAATGTCAGCACACCAGGAGCCACGATTTTACAGGATGCTTAAGACTGTCATTCCTAACAATCCAGTAAGGTATTTTGTGACCAATCTGATCATTTCGTTTTGTGATGTTTGCAAATGTTGTATTTTCCCTTTAAAAACAATTACCTACTACAAAGTCCCCAAGTAAGGTACTTGGTTGCCAGACATTTTTTTTTTTTTTGGCCATGACATTTTTTTCTTAATTTTTTTAACTGTACTGGCAAAACCAAACACTGTACAGTAAACAAAATGACAGATTCTTTGCATTTGATTTGCGACAAATGGAAACAATAGTGACATTATTCCACACCTCAAGTTCTCGCAGGTTCTTCATGTCTAGCTCTTGAGCAAACACAGGGTAGGGGATGTGCTTGGATTTGGCAGCTAACGTCACCACCGTTAGATGTCTCAACTTGGTGAGAGCGACGGGGGACAGATCTGGAAACTGGTTGGTATTCTCTGTAGGGTGGACAATGACAGAGAGTTAAGGATATACTGTCCGTGTGTTTTTCCACTCAAAACAATAGGTTTTGCTTGTAAAATGCTCTTTTTCTACAAATACAACGGTTGCTCAATATTGAATGAGATTTCCCAAGCATTCAAATTGGAATTATTTGCAGCCCAAACAAATTTAAGTTCTCGCTGGATACACTAGTAGACTAGGCAGACCGGTTCCCGCCACCTGTTGGCTGGTTTTTTAATGTTTTTTTTTATGGTTTTTTTTCTTTTAAAAAAAGGTATTGATGGGTCAAAGTTAAAAAAAAATAATCATGTGAAGAGATGAACACTATACATTTAAGCAGAATTACAATTTAAGGCCAAAAAAAAATAAGTCTCCGGTTTCTGGTATGGAGCTTGTCCAAAAAGTGGTGGGGGCGACGCGGCTTTTTTTTTTTTTTTACCTGACTTTTTTGCTTCAAATGTCGGCTGATGATTGCAAATGGTGCCCGACTAAACTTAGTGCAAATATATGGGAGTCCAGAGAGGCCACATAAAGCTTATTCTCGATCATAACCCCATCTAAAAACCACGTAAAATTGTGCAGAAGCAGGATTCCAGTCAAACCAGTGAGTTTGGCGGTTTTGAGACATCATCTTTCATTGAAAAAAAAACTTTTTCATTTTGCCGACGCGCATGGCTACGGCGACGCGCGCGCATACCAGAAACCGGAGACTTTTTTTTTTGGCCTAAGGGAAAGTTAAGAACTTATTTGATCTTGAAATAAAACATGAATGATTGGTTATTTTGTCACCACTCTGACCTTGACTGATGAAGTGTGGGAATTCAGGGATTTTTCTTTGTTAGGTTTTGCCCAGGGGGGCGTTTGCTATTAAAAGTGTGAAAACTTACCGTTGTATTCTTGATATGTTCCATAGGCAAAGAGGTTCAATGCAGCAAGGTAAGATGCATTTGGGCCGTTGGCCAGCTGAAAATAAAGAATATAAAAGAATCTTAATATAACACATGTTGTTAGCTTGAATAAAATGAAAAGTAGGGCCAGCTCATGCATTTCATTGCTACTACAGTCGAGTCTTGTTAATACAAACTCGTTCGGACCTAGCCAAATTGTTTGCTACATGTGTATCAGAATTTTGTATTAAGAGGAACATCAGTCCCATTCATTGTGCACATAAATGCACAGTCGGGACTAAGGCTTTATGTTTGTTATAACCAGAATTTTGTATTAACAGAGTTTGTACTAAACGAAGGTCGACTGTACTTTGTTTTTTGTCATACGCACACGTACCCACAATGGTACATGTAATTTAAATAGCCTAAAATTACATTGAAACTTTTCTAAACGATGGGCCATTCAGTAGTCTTAGTGGCATGAATTGTGGAGACTAATGCATGGCATGAAACGGCTAAGAATAACTCTATTCCCCCTGGATGGGATGCCAGTCCATTGCAGGTTACTCCCCAGCTAATACCAGTACCAATGTATACACTGTACCGGGTGGACAGAGTGAAGTGGCTTGCCCAAGGACACAAAACCCTGTGACCATGAGTCACACACCCTAAACACTTGGCCACACTCGGGTAAATTTTCAAACAAGGGTAAAAAATCAAATTAGGTTTTGCCCTTCACCGACATTTAAACACTGTATACTCAGCGTATTACCTCCTGAGTTACGATTTGAACCAGCCAACCGATCCCGTTGGCTCGGTGGTCGAGTGGTAAGACATCTGCACTAGAAAGCAGGAGGTCGTGGGTTCGAGTCCCACCCGAGTGATTTTTTCCAACTTTCACTCTGGAGGTATTGAGTATGCAGTGTTTTAACGTCGATGAAGGGCAAAACCTAATTTGATTTATATCACCCCGACGCAAAATTCCATCTTGTAAGGGTTACAAAGAAAGCGAGTCTTTACCTCCTGGACGTTGGGCATTTCCAGCAGCTCCCCAAACACATACACCCCAGGGGCCTCCAAGACCTGCTTGATGAGCGCCACCACGGCCGCCCCCTTGGTGGACTTGGCCAATAGGAGGAACTGCTCCAGGGGCTGGTGGGTGGAGCCTGCCTGAAGGGGCGTGGCTTGAGCGTTGAGCTGGTCCATGATTGGCTGCTTGGGCGGTAGATGAGTTTTCATTGACAGATACGCTGTAAGATCAGATGCTTCTTGTTGATTTTCAGATGAACAGTGAATTTTCAGCACTTGCAAAATATCACTGTGGAAAGAAAATGACACAATATCACTCTGAAAATGGGAAAAAAGCCAACAACATTCTCAGGTTTTGTTTATTGAGTGTCTAAGGCATAACTCCTTTTTTATGATTCTTTACTGGGAATTAATTGCAACCTTTGACACAAATATTTCATAAGATCCTGGGGGGGGGGAGGCAGGCCTAGTAACTATAATATGGAGCTAGGCCTTACCTGAAAATTTATCTCAAGTTTATGACTTCAGTATACATGTACATGTAAATGTTGTGATAATGTCAATGAACATTGTTTTTCTTGTTAAACTGAATTTTAAAATGTGTCATAAACTGCCTGGATGCAAATTAACTTTGATTGTGAATGCGAGTCATATATAAGAGTCGGGGGAAAAAAATTGCAATTTGACACCACTTTTTCTTCAGATGATATATCATCTCAATGAAGGCCATTGCAAAAATGATGAAAAGACTTGAATCTTGGACTGAGAAACAATTCCAATTTTGTTAGAAAATACTTAGAACATTTTCCTGAAGACTTTGTACAGTCCTGGAAGTGGCGTCAGGTTGCAACATTTTTTCCTAGACATGCTAGATCATACATGTCCTAGGCCTATATCAATCATTTTCATTAATTTCAATAAAGCCGAATCAAGGTTTTGCTCGCCCATAGGCGGCTAGCTTTCAGCATCCTGCGGATTTGTTTATCCAAAATTTAGTCCAAGTCAATTCACTGCTCACACGAAAGTTAAAACTTCGATTTATCATGTTTATTGGCAATTCTTTGAACATGTTGAAATGAATTATTTTTGATAAATCAATTGTCATTCTGCAATTCCAACAGTCAACAATGTCAGCAAGATACATATGCACAAATAAATACATGTCGGCTACTACTGGGTTACATATGATCTAACGTTATTTGCTCGTCATCAGGCTTCTTGAAATTTTTGCAATTGTATAACTTTTTTAACGAAATAGATGCAGTACAGTGGTACAATGTAAACAATCAATGTCATGAATGAAAGCCGCTTGAAAATCGTCATCAAACATTAACTATATATGTGCCAACTAGGCCTATACATTATATATTACACATGTCCCAATTCCCAAACTTACCCAAATCAAACGGTTTTAAACCACCAAAATCACAATGTTCACGTTCGTCCAGAGCTCTTTGCTCTTTCTCTTACGCTGGTCATGGAATAGCCGTCGGATCGGATCGGACGGAACGATTAATGACAAATTATTGGTGGCGCTCTATACACTACTTGTGGTGGTGATGGCTCTGTGGCAGTCAAAACGCACCAGGCCCTTCAATGGAGAATTGTACAAAGCATTCCCTTAGCGAGGTGATTATTTGAACATTAGCTGAGCACAATGCTTTCGCCATTGAAGGGGGCCTTCGAGATATATTTGATAGCATGCCTGGACTGGTCTATAATAAAACTGACAAAAGCAAATACATTTCATCGTTCCCATTATTTAGTTATATCTTTGCCCTTCGCCGGCGAGAGTTTGAAATTGAGAAATCACTCTTTAAAATATCACATGGAAGCAGGGTGACCATATAAGTTCATGGGCAAATTCTGCTAAATGCACTTCAAAAATATGTCAGATTTATCAAAAATCTGCCATTTCCCCAGAATTACTCGAAATACACTATAAACACTAAAAATCACATGCAGATGTTGTAGGTTCAAATTACATTATAAACAATCTATAGTCACACAAAGACAGTATGAAATTGCGTGAATTTCAGGCAAAACGCGGTTGCGTCACGAACCGGTTCCAAGTCATCTGTGAACTTCCAGCATTGACGTTTTTTAAACAAATGTACCATTTTTGTTTTCAAATTTGTTTTTTTGGGGGGGGTCAAATAACCATTTTTGCAGAATTCTGGCAAAAATCTGCCAGAAAATTCCATTCTATCAAAATTTCTGTCAAACTCGTTTTTACAAAAAAATCTGTCAAAGTTTAACTTTGGCTAATAGCCGAAAATCGGCTAAAATAAAACATGTTTGGAAGTTGCATAATCACCCCCCCCCCCTCCCCCCGGGCCCCCGGCCCCCACCGCGCCCTTCCAATATCTGCAATTATAAACATTAATTCACCATAGATACAATTTTTGAGAGATAAAAAATCAAGGACATTTAACGAAAATTACCGTGTAAAACTTGAATTTAAACAGATTCCCCCGAATCATGAATGCCCGAATTCACCGTTCGTCGATCAGTTTTGTTTTGACAATATTAATTAAATGCCCCGCGCGCGAAGGCCACGCTGTATGCACATCTAATAATAGAACATAATTTGTCTGGTTTCGGCCTCCTCTCGCAACTTGTGCAAACTGTGGTTGCGTAAGTATTTTTCTGGGTATCAGACTCTCACATGGTGCACAACGTGAAAATCCGCGCCAACCTAAAATCTTCAGGAAAGGTTGTGTAAGTTGCTATATCAGTCGAATTTCTGCTATAATTTGCTTTGCCGTCACTTTCTTTGCCTAATTCTCGAAGGTAAGTGTCTCCGAAGGAAGATGTGCATTTGTATTTTTGGTGACATTTGTTTTCTGTGGCAGTAATCGTTTGTTTTTATCCCAAATTGTGCGGCCTTTCCGCCACAGACACGGAGCTTCGTCTGCCGCGCTGCTGCGTCGTACACAATGTTGCATTTACATTTGCATGAGTGTAGCAGTTTAAAGTGAGGACGGACGGTCGACGGTCTAGTTCAAGTAGTTGTAGGCCTATCATAAATTAGAAAAAAGGAAAGAATGTAGTATCCAGACGCCACTTCAGTGGCTGTGCACTAGGTCTATGGAGATTCAAGAATATTTTCATAGCATTTTCTAAGTAACAAAATTGGACATTTTTCTCAGTCCCAGATTTCATGTCTTTTCATTTTCAACATTTTTGCAATGAAATGACATGACTGACCGGACCTAAGCTTCATCATGTTCAAGTAGTTGAACCATGGGTTGAACTTGATGAAGTTGGTGTGATGTTTCCCCCGAGTTGCTTTTTCAACTATGATAGGGCCTACAGATACAGACAATAACAGATGTTCATTGAGAATGAGATGATAAACGCCTATGATGGAAAAATGTGCACAGGATACAAAAAAAAATGAACATTCTTTCCAAAAAATATCTCGAAAATGTGTTGTTATTTGTGCCTGTCATGCCTGTGGTTTGTTCTAACAAAAAATATTGTTTATTTTTTAAGTGAAATGAGCATGATACTTGATAGGAAAGAATTATTTTGTAAAATTGTAGCACAAATTGTTAAAACTGACATGACCAGACGACTGAAGTCTGAAGGATTGCATTATAAAATGTGTTTTGATAAAATTTGAATAGAAACATAAATGAGGCTACAAGTACAAGTACAAGCTGATCATGACATGACAATTAAACTTTAAAGAAGTAAACTGAGTAATAATTATCCCCTTTAATTTTAGTTTTGCACTAATGTCAGATAAGCTTAGCTTGACTCTAGTTTTATAATTCAGAATGTTTTATTTGTCACTTGTATTTTAATCTGTGTAAAGTGCTTCACGACGGCAGTGGGAAACACTAGATTTAAACTTTTATAAATAATTAGGCCTATACTGTTTGGAGCCTCGAAGACCATTTTTTCCAAAGCCATTTCAAATCTGTCTCGGTCCTGAATTAGTGATTTATGTGAAATGCAAATGAGTAATTTGTTCCAGTTGTTTTCTGTGTAGTTTCCTTTAGCACAGAGTCCAGTTACAGGCAGTTTACCAACAATCTGAGGGACAGAAATATCTGATGGCAGCTTCTGTATTTCCACTTGGCACCGATGTTTCACCGTACAAACCCACAGAGGAGCCCGACGGCCCACACGAAGTAGCCCACCAACTCACAAACAAAGGTCGGCCTAAAACTACGACCTGTGACGATTTTAACGGGCGTGATATGATTAAACAGTGTTGTAGTAAGGCCACAAAAAAAAATAGTTCTGCTCTGGTTACCCTACCTACCCTATTTTTTGGGGGGAATGGAAAAAACAAAAGAAAACATCAATTTCTACCTTTTACCCTTTACTACACACAGACACCTACATATTATGATCAACCCAAAAAATCCCTACCTACCTACCCTATTTTCAAATGCCATGTAACCGGGAGCAGAACTTTGGGAGGAGGGGGGGCCTAATCTCCCTGCATGCCCGTCACAATTCCTTTCACCTCAACCCACAAGCTATTCTAATGGATTGTTACAAAAGCATTGCTTTACTTGTGAATAGTGGTGTGATTAATATCCAGACTTTTTGAAATTCGGTTTGAATTCCTCTACAATAAAACATTTCATATTTATGGGTGTTTTAATATTGCAAATCCTTGGACCGCCATCCAGTTGTGTCCCTATTTGAGGCTTTTAAATGTTGGCAGGTACATATAGGGTAAGGGGGTGGGGGTATTCGGCCACTTAACCCTAACCCCCTAGGCCCTTGTTGCTTACAACCATCCTAAATCCTCCAAAATTTTCCAAAATTTTGCAACTCCGCCTAAATTTTTCAAAATTGTCAAGACAGTCCTGCCTCAAATGCATTCATCCTCAATCCTCCAAATCCTCCTCATCCCAAAACTTTGCACTCGTGTTTAAATGAAGGATAAACCAACGCCAAATCCTTCAAAATCATCAGACAGTCCTGCCTCAAAATGCATTCATCCTCAATCCTCCAAAATCCTCTTGTGCTTCAATCACCATTCATCCTCAATCCTCCAAAATCCTCATGTGCTTCAATCACCATTCATCCTCAATCCTCCAGAATCCTCATTTGATTCAATCACCATTCATCCTCAATCCTCTAGAATCCTCCAAAACCGCCAGGAGGATTTTGGAGGAGTGAGGTGGGTTAGGGTTAATGTTGAATGATACTAATTCTTCATTGAATATGTAATATAAATGGAACATGGCCAGGATATATTATAACAAGAACCTATAGTATGAATCAAGAGTGTCCGTCCATGTTATGAACATTATCCTTCATTTCATCTTAAAGATGGCCGAGTAATTTCCTACATATCCAGTAAATCAGCCTAATTATTTATCAGTGCAATCATGGATAATACAGGAATGTTTAAAAACAAAAAATTAGCAAAAAACCTGCTTTGAAATCCACCTCCCATGTCTCACCCATAAAGTTATAAGTTGTAACCGTTGGTGTGGACAGACCCAGGTACATGTATGAATAAAACCTTACCTTTATTTTGCAAGAACAGATACTACGAAGCTCGGCCTACCCAGCAACGACCCCGAGATGGCGGCAACAGGTAGCGAGGGTGCAGGGCCCAGCTCAGCACCAGACAGCCCGAGCTGCAGCACGGCAGACACTGACCCAGGCAGCGACCTCGGTTGTGTGCCCCTAGACGGCATGATCACAGAGAACATGCTGAACATTGAGAAAGAGCTGCATCTGCAGAGCATCAAGGAGGAGAAGAGACTGAAGGAGGAGGTATGTTGAGGTCAGGGGTCAAAAGGTCAAAAGGGATTTCTTAGGTCATGGTGTAAAGACTCGATGGTAAAATGAGGTTGGACGTCAAATGTTTTTCTGTCGTTTACCATATGTGTCCAGCAAAACAGATGTGCTCCAACAATATTGATTTCTAAGCAAGGGAGAGAATTTCGGGTATATGTAGCCGAAGGTGTGATGAAATAAAAACGACTATTGTTTCTGTCATGAAATGAGTACAAAAGGTACTTTTGAGAGCTGTTTCTCAAGTCCTGTCATGCCTGTTTCGACCCGACGTGCAATTTGTATAAAAGTCGTCGTTGCGGGCAGCAAACAAAACACAGTAAATCGTGACGTAATAAACAGGACTCCCGATGCAGAGTAGCATACACGAGCCCTGTTTATTACATCACGATTTACTGTGTTTTGTTTGCTGCCCGCAACGACGACTTTTACACAAATTGCACGTTCGGGTGGAAACAGGACCTGAAAAATAGCTCTCAAAAGTACCCTTTGTACTCATTTCATGACAGAAACAATAGTCGTTTTTATTTCATCACACCTTAGGCTACATACATGTATACCCAAAAAATGACGGAAATGTCTTCAAGCATTCCACAACCTCTTTAATTATTTCTTGTTAATATGGGTGACGTCGATTCCAACAGTCCATCTCGGTGTGGCAGAAAGAGCAGGACGAGCAGCGCTACAAACGCCTGCAGCACCTGCTGGAGAAGAGCAGCATCTACTCCAACTTCCTACTGAGCAAGATGGAGGAGCAACAGAAGAAGGAGAAGCTGCGGCAAGAGAAGCGGGCCAAGAAGCTGAAGAAGAAACAAGATGAAGAAGAGCGAAAGAGGGCCGAGGCCGAGGAAAAGGAGGCGAAAAAAGACGCGGAGAAAGAGAACAAGGGATCCAAGGTCAGTGACAATTCTAACACTGGATGATACTCTTCAAATTGTAAATGTTATAAACAACTACAATTGTAGGATTCGAACTGTTAGTATAAGCCGTAAGTTTACTTTAGCTACTAAATCTGTTAAGCTGCAACTGCAGCAGAACTGGTAGTATAAGCCGTAAGTTTACTTTAGCTACTAAATCTGTTAAGCTGCAACTGCAGCAGAACTGGTAGTATAAGCCGTAAGTTTACTTTAGCTACTAAATCTGTTAAGCTGCAACTGCAGCATCGGTCCCAGCTATATTTTGGGCAATCCTTACCATTTGAAATGTCATTTAGTCAAGAAAAGATCCCTGCTATTCCTTATACAATGAAATCTCGATAAGTCAAAACCTGTTAATCCAAAAACCCTTTTAACTCAAAAGCCCTTTTCAGTCAAAGTAAAATGTTATTCCCATTAATTGTGGTTGAAAGGAAAATCCATTGGATAACTCAAAACCCTGCTTAACTCAAAATTTGAGCCAATTCCTTTTACCCTTTTTTCCCCAAAACCCTTTTAACTCAAAAGCCCTTTTCAGTCAAAGTAAAAGGTTATTCCCATTAATTGTGGTTGAATAGAAAATCCATTTGCTAACTCAAAACCCTGCTTAACTCAAAATTTGAGCCAATTCCCCTGAGCTTTGACTTTCACTGTACCAAGGCTAGTTACCAACATTCAGATCATATACAGACCGAGTATTCAGCACTATTCATAAATACCTAAGACAGTTTACGCATTCCTATTGGTCGAGAGCCCGTCACGTGGCCGGTCTTGAACGGATGATAAAGACATGGCTAGCTGGTCTTAAACACTTTTCCAGTGTCACAATAAAATGTGGACTCCTAAAAATCCAGTGCCTCTTATCGTTTCATTGGTTGAACGTTCACAATCCTCACGTAGGCATGCGCAACACTACCAGGGAGTCAGAATTTTTAAGTTCTAAATTCAAAACGCAACGCGCCAGTTGCGTTCTGCGCGACATCGCGTAGAACATGATACGCTCGCGTCAATCTCCATAAAAAGGTTGTTTACATCTTACTCGCCAGCTGAACACTCCATTATTTTGCAAGAGGGATGTTTCAAAAAGCATAAAGTGAATTTGTTGAACAAAATCGGGATGTTTTGAACGAATTATATGATTTTTTCTTACCGAAAAGGTATTTATGAATGGGAATAAATATGTGCTCCGTCGGTATTTATCACTCTGTTTAAGACCACTTAGAGTCTGGGTGCTGATAATTACCCTCGCCTCCGGCTCGGGTAATTCCGCTTAGAGTCTGGGTGCTGATAATTACCCTCGCCTCCGGCTCGGGTAATTATCAGCACCCAGACTCTAAGCGGTATTAAACAGAGTGATAAAAACCTCCGGAGCACACATTTATTCCCTTATGATTGACAGTCAATTTTCAGTCAAGATTCAGATGTCGGTCACCCTTGGTCCATTTGAGTCAAGACATGGCAGTCTCAAGTAACATTCTCAGCTAGTCAGTTTCGCATACATGTAGGAGTAGCAACTGTAAAAAACAGTCACTTGATTTATTTTGACCGGAGGGACAGCTGTGACAAGCGCGAGAGAGAGAGATGTTTTAATACATGTACTAATGCCTCTCCACCATGGTGCCGACAAAATTCCTTGTAAGTTAAAGAAAGAAAATTTGCATTAAACTGGATTCAAATCTGCAACCTCCAGATACAGCGGTGGTCCTCTTTCTGGTTGAGGATACCAGTACAATATCGGTGGTGTCATTGTTAACAGATTAGGCGTGCTTGAATTACAGGAGGCTGGACCAGCTACTCGGAGAAAAAGCCGCTACCGGAAGCAGGAGTCAAGTAGCCCAGAAGTCGCTGGTAAGTTTGTAAAAGACCTTGAAAAATACCCTCCTTTGTTTCAAGATCTAGCTTATTATGAAAAATCTTGGTAGTTCCCTCGGTATGACAGCCCAGAACCACATCTTCTTTGTAGGAAAAGAATCATTTAGGCCTAAACATCGGAAAAAGTTTTAGGATTTACTCTTCTGTATTCTGTTTGAGATTAATTTCTTAGAATCTATTGTTTTATTGAAGGAACCTCAGAAAGTCAGGAACAGGATAGAAACATGTCCACAGACAGCGCAAAGTCCTCCCCACGTATAATAGATCAGGCAAGCTCAGGGAATGCTTTTCCTAGTCACTTTAGTCAAACCGAACAGAGGAATAGCCCACAGGATTCCAAAAGCCCTATGGCCAGCCCCAGACGTCACGCTCCGACAGACAAATCAGGGACAAGTTCTCCCAAAACTGACCACATGAAAGATAGTCCCTCACCTAGGAAGGACCAGGTTGAACTTGAAAGGAATTGTAGGACAAGACACTCAAGTAGAATAGCAAAAACTGGTGGAGAGAATAGGATAGCAAAAACTGTCAAAGAAGAGAATAGGATGGCTAAAACTTGCGATGACGAAAATGGGATTGCAAAAACTGTCGAAGGAGAGAATAGGATGTCAAAAACTGTCAAAGAAGAGAACAGTATGGCAAAAACTGTCACAGAAGAGAATAGGATTGCAAAAACTGTAGAAAGGGAGATTAGGATGGTAAAAACTGTCAAAGAGAATAGGAGGGCAAAAATTGTCAAAGAAGAGAATAGCGTGGCAAAAACTGTAGAAGAGGAGAGTAGGATGGCAAAAACTGTCGAAGGAGAGGATAGCTATAGCATGGCAAAAAGTGTAGAAGGGGAGAATAGTATGGCAAAAACTGTCAAAGAAGAGGATAGCATGGCAGATACTGTAGAAGGGGAGAATAGGATGGCAAAAACTGTCAAAGAAGAGGATAGCATGGCAGATACTGTAGAAGGGGAGAATAGGATGGCAAAAACTGTCGGAGAGGATAGCTATAGCATGGCAAAAGCTGTAGAAGGGGAGAATAGTATGGCAAAAACTGTCAAAGAAGAGGATAGCATGGCAAATACTGCAGAAGGGGAGAATAGGATAGCAAAGACTGTAGAAGGGGAGAATAGGATGGCAAAAACTGTTGAAGAGGAGAATAGGATGGAAACAACAGTCGAAGGAGAGAGCACAGTTCCTGAATTAACAGATGCTCAATCTCCAGACTCAAACTCAAGTAAGTGTCGAACCCAGAAGCACAATCGATCAATGAACTAAGTAGTTGGAATGGTGGTCAGAAATTCAGAGGAATATGGTCAAAGAATCCAAGCGTACAAAGTGCATAAAGTACAACGATACAAAGAATGTGTCAAAAAGTCAAATTGTACAAAGAATGAGCCATTGGGTTCCCGTAGAGTGATTTTCAAGGATTCAGGAAGGTTTCTAGGTATGCTTAGGGAGTCGGGGTTCAAAATGCAGATCAGGGAAAATAGGTGGATAGTTGTAACAGACGTAAAGTGGTAGAAGGGTTATAAAGAACATGATTAGAAGGGGGAATGATGGTAAACATAGAGGCAAACTCAATATTTAGGACAGCCAAGATATATAGGGATAAGTGAGCACTACACAGGTACAAATGAACAATCCACATTGAAGATTAGGAGAAAGGAAACTTGAAAAAGCAGACCCAGGAAATGAAATGTGTAGGAGAAGTCGACCTTTGGCTGAGCTCAGTAAAAGACAGAACTTGTGCTGTCGGGAATGATGTACCACTTTTTCAAACAACCAACTTGTCTTTTCTTTATTCTTATAGCAAGTCCCATAGGAACCTCACGCGGCAGAAGTCGCAAGCGAATGAGGGAAGACTACAGCATTGCTGACTACATTGACAAATCTGTACGTATCAATCATGGATAATGATTTTCAAATGGAAAGAGCAGGATTTCATCTATGATTTGGCAACTATTTAGGCCTACCGTTGTTGTTATGCCCCGCGGCGAAGCCGAAGGGGCATACTGTTTCCGCCTTGTCCTTCCGTGTGTGGGTGGGTGTGTGGGTGGGTGTGTGGGTGGGTGAGCTTGTCTTACATACGCAGTGTGGACTTCCGAACAAAACACGTCCACATAATGTAGGTAGCACCGACGTTGTGTGGACTTGCCCACGTCCACACAGTGTTTCCCCATTTCTGGAAAACAGGTTTAGAGGCATTTTTGGGTTAGGTTTATCTGTAGCAGAATGAAGAGAAACACTAAAGGGAATCATAGAAAAAAAATTGGGTTGAAAGAGTTTTCACAGTTTGAGAAAAATGAGTTTTTCCACTGGTGTTCCTTAACTACACGAAAAGAAAGGAAAGTCCACACTACTTATGTGAAACAAGTCTGTGTGTGTGGGTGGGTGTGTGGGTGGGTGGGTGTGTGTGTGTGTCCGGACAAATCTTGTCAGCGCGATAACTTGAGAAATACTTAACATATGAACTTCAAATTTGGTTTGTGGATTGTTCTTGGTAATCCTACGAAGCCTTTTGCATTTGGGGCCAAAAGGCCAAAGGTCAAGTTCACAGTGGCTAAAACAATAGAAATCTTGTCAGCGCAATAACTTGAGAAATAATTAACATATGAACTTCAAATTTGGTTTGTGGATTGTTCTTGGTAATCCTAAGAAGCCTTTTGCATTTGGGGCCAAAAGGCCAAAGGTCAAGTTCACAGTGGCTAAAACAATAGAAATCTTGTCAGCGCGATAACTTGAGAAATAATTAACATATGAACTTCAAATTTGGTTTGTGGATTGTTCTTGGTAATCCTAAGAAGCCTTTTGCATTTGGGGCCAAAAGGCCAAAGGTCAAGTTCACAGTGGCTAAAACAATAGAAATCTTGTCAGCGCGATAACTTGAGAAATACTTTACATGTGAACTTCAAATTTGGTTTGTGGATTGTTTTTGGCAATCCTAAGAAGCCTTTTGCATTTGGGGCCAAAAGGCCTAAGGTCAAGTTCACAGTGGCTAAAACAATAGAAATCTTGTCAGCGCGATAACTTGAGAAATACTTTACATGTGAACTTCAAATTTGGTTTGTGGATTGTTCTTGGCAATCCTAAGAAGCCTATTGCATTTGGGGCCAAAAGGTCAAGGGTCAAGTTCACAGTGGCTAAAACAATAGAAATCTTGTCAGCGCGATAACTTGAGAAATACTTAACATATGAACTTCAAATTTGGTTTGTGGATTGTTCTTGGTAATCCTAAGAAGCCTATTGAATTTGGGGCCAAAAGGTCAAGGCTCAAGTTCACAGTGGCTAAAACAATAGAAATCATGTATTTATTCTGAGATTATAGGGATTAGGGATTAATTCATATAAAACCTACAGAAGACACTAATGCTGTCAATGAATGTTCCATGTGACCAAGGTACCGGTACATGTAAGTTGATGTTAAAAGAGTGGTGTTATGTCATGGGAACTGTCACCGTTGCGGGGCATTTGTGTTTGTAAACACACCTGACTTGTTTTATTTTGTAATCAGATTGCCCCTCATTAAGGCAATGTTTATCTCTGTTTGCTCAATTCTTCTGAAAGGCCTGTTAGGAAAATATTGCCTGTTTCCACAAACTGACAAGAAATGCAAACATCACAATTATTGCGACTGGCAAGTACTTTCACTTTCCTGAATGTGAAGGAGGTGGAACCTTTGACACAATTTAACAACGTGACACACGGACAGGCAACTGACACGCAAAATGAACTCTGTAGCATCTCTTGGTATTTTTTGCACATTGAAAACTTAATGTCAACATGAGCCTTAAGGGTTTGGTGGACATGAACAGGGAATAGGAGGTTTGTGGTAACACCATGTGAAGTGAAGATATCTCTAATGCTAGGTTCACACATTCCCGATTTTTAAGCCGAATCGTCAAGAATAGCAATTCTTAAGTAAATCGGGGATGGTTCTTTTGGCTGCCTCGGGATGGTTCTGTTAGTTCGGTGAAAGATCGGGGAGCGCCCCAACAAAGTAAAACATGTTCAAAATTGTCGGGGTTATTCAGGAACTAATATCAATTCTTGGTTTATTCTGGTTGTATTCACAACTAACTCGGAAATGTGTGAACCTAGCATTAGTGAGTTGTGTGGTTCCGAGAAGAACCAGTTGGTTTAACTCGACGTTTCGAGCGGTGTGCTCCGCTCGTCATCAGGAGACTTTACAACCACCGACATTTCAGGAGTTGTACATGCACTGCGCAATACAAAGGTTTGCTGGAAAGTCGGCATCAAGTGACCTCAACATCCAGTTTTATAAACAGATATGATGTGGTCTATAGAAAAACTCAGGCAGCTAAAATTATGCGTATATCTCATGGGGTATTTAAAAATGATTCATTACTCATTTACTCCGGTGCAACTCTTTTCCAGACTCTAACATCCAAAAAGCTGAAATCTGACGCCGCCGAGACAGGCAGCTCAGGGAAACAGGAAAAGACAAACTTGCCGCCAAGGGTGAAGAATGAAAACACTCAGGAAAACCAAACGGAAGCATCTCAAGAAGGTGGCTCTGCTGACGAGGAAACAAAACCAGAGGTGAGTGTGGATAAGTTACAGTGTTGTGTTTTGAGTCTTTTTCCGAGTCCCCAATTTTGTTTGATATTTAAAGGGAAGATACAACATTGCAAACATCAAAAAACGAAATGATCAAATTATCACGAAATATCTTACTGGATTGTTAGGGAATGACAGTCTCAAGCATCCTGTAAAGTTGTGGCTCCTGGTATGCTGGCATTTTCAAGAAAAACTGTATTTTTTCCAACGCTGGTCGGCCAACCAGCGTTGGAGAAAACTGGCTTTTTTTCAAAAAGTGCTCCTAATTTTTCGAATTGAGTTTGTCTGCATTTTCTTTGCAATTGATTACACAACTGTGAAGACTACAAGCCTGCTAGACTGATTCTATGATCTTACAATTCCCCAAAGTCTATAAATTGCTCCGTTTCATCTTAAAAGGGGTCAGGGAACCAGGCTACAAGAATATGATTGGTTTTCTTGGTTTTTCCAGCATAAACGAACCCAAAACGTGAAACAAGTCAGTTTAACAATATTTGCTATAACATACTAATCCTCCAAATCCATTTATTTCTGAAAATTGCAGCAAAAGCAAATGTTGTACATTCCCTGTAAGGCTGCATTGGAGTCTATTTCTCAAGACTTAAAAACATATTGAGTGTTCATTTCTCGTGTCTTCTTTTTTTCTTTTTTTTTCTTTTTGTTTTTTGCAAAAAAAATCACAAAAATAGCTTTAAAAAACAAGTCATAAGAATTCTATTAACCTTGGAAACGTTTCGCAGTGCTTAACTTTGCGCCATCTTGAAATCACATGATATGAACTTTGGCTAATGGGATGCACACTAAACTCCTGCTGAGAGTATACTCCTCAAAACTGATTTTTTTTTTAACCAGGCTACCTCGCCAGTTGCTGCCAAGCAGACAGAGGAGTTTGTGGATTCCTTCAGCCGCACCATCAACGGGGAGCAGATCTCAGACCTGCAGCCGGACCTCTTCACAGGGGGCTGTCTCAGGAAGTACCAGGTGGAAGGCATTGAATGGCTCAAGGTAGGTCCGGACATATTCATCACATCAAAATCTGCTCTGAAAGCTGAATTTTGCTGGGGTTTTAAAAAAAATTCAAAAAACTTAAAATGCAAGAACAAGCCATGTGTCTGCTGAGCAGATGTGGAATGAGAAAGATTCAAGAAGGATATGAAATGAAATTCTGATTGAGAGTGGGTTTACGAAAATAACAGAATCAAGACTCCATCCGCTGATCAGGGCCCACTTTCACGGCGGTGCTAAGCACAAAAATTTGCTAAGCACAGAAATTTGCTTAGCACAAAAACAGTCTGGCTTATAAAAACAGGTTACCAGCTAAAATTCCATGCGACTTTCATGCTATTAAAGCAAACAACAGTTGAATACTAATGAGCAATATACATCACATGGGGTTTTGGCTGGTAACCTGCTTACATAAGCCAGCCTTTTTTTGTGCTAAGCACATTTTTGTGCTAAGCAGCACCTTGAAATTGGGCCCTGATGTGGATTGAGAAGGATTCAAGAAGAATGTGAAGAGAAATCCTGATTGAGTGTGGGTTAACAACAATAACAGAATCAAGACTCCATCCACTGATAAGGGCCCAATTTCATAGCGCTGCTAAGCACAAAAATTTGCTTAGCACAAAAACTGTCTGGCTTATAAAAGCAGGTTACCAGCCAAAACTCCATGTGAGTTCATGTTAAGCAAACAACCATGACAACAGCTGAATACTAATATTGAGCAATATACATCACATGGAGTTTTGGCTGGGAACCTGCTTTTATAAGCCAGCCTTTTTTGTGCTGAGCAAATTGTTGTGCTTAGCAGCGTCGTGAAATTGGCCCTATTGTAAAGAATGCCTGTTTTGCTGGGTCAGTTACACTTGGGAGATTAACACAAAAAAGAAAATTGAAAACAAGTCAGATTTCATTGCACATTTTTCACTGTCTTCTGAGTTTGAATAGTGTATAATTTTCCTTCCTCTTGGCTTTCAAGGTGTTGTACGAAAACGGCGTAAATGGCATCCTTGGTGACGAGATGGGTTTGGGTAAGACAGTCCAGTGCATCGGTCTGTTTGCCCACATCATCAAGATGGGCGTACCCGGACCGTTCTTGGTAGTGGCCCCCCTCTCCACTCTATCCAACTGGATGTCAGAGTTCAAACGTTTCACACCTTTGGTAGGTGCTCAGAATTTTGAAGTTGAATATTCCTGATTGGTGTCTAACATAGCACTTGTCTGTGAAAGGCCCCTTCCTGCGCGCCAATCATTATTATTATTGGTTTATTAATACTTCAAACATCACAGCCCTAAAGCTGAATTACGTTTAAAATACATAGAAATTCACAAAAACAAAAATTAAAAGTTATGTAGCAGTTCATTAAACAAAAAGGAAAAAAAAAGACAATGATTACAGAGGACCGAAAATACATTAAAAATATGTAGAAATATAAAAAATATATACAAAATTTATCACACTGTATGTAAAATATGCAAAATTTAGCCTCAAAAATGCAAAAAGGTAAGGGAGGCCAGCTCCACTAAAATAAAACCTGCAGGGCTTGCTATGGAAAAATTAACTGCATGTATTGAGAAGTGTAGTCAAGGATGGGATTGGACTGTTTTTGTACCTGTTGGTTCTACACTTGATTGAGCACAGTTTGTTTGTATTTCTGAGATTATTATTCCTGTTGGGTGGGAGCCAGTCTCTGTAGTTGTTTGAAGTGATGAGCGATTTGACCAAATTGAACAAAAAGCTGTTCAAGTCTGACAGAAACAGGTGACAAACCAAACTGGGAATAAATTTCACTGAAAGACCGTACTACAAAAGTCCTTTGTTTATAACTGTTTATATGATAATGTGGAGGGTCTTTCACTGTAATTTCTCCAGACATTCTATTTGAGATTTGCGAAGACTTGAGAACCAAACTGGGCAGGCATATTCAATGGTAGGCCTAACATACATGGTATATATCATTAACAAGTCTTTAACAGGAGTTGATATGTCCACTAGACATATTGTAAAGAAATAATATAAAAATTGTGCAATTAAAGTGTTTTCAAGGAAAAACAATTGCCATCTTTTATTTTCACGACTACAAAACTGGAAACTAAGCCTTTTTCTCAGTAATTTATTTTTTGACATGTTGATAAATGCGACATTTATACAGCCATTACTTGTCCGAATACGGTGTGTCAGATTGAAGTGCAACAAAGAGTATTGTAAGGAGAATGTTATTCTCTTTCCTAATACCTACAAACCCTCACTTTGACCTCTGCCCAGTTCTGTCTCAGTTTGCCAGAACGCCTCGCATGTAAAGGTGCATAGATTAACTAGTGTAGAATAGAAGCCTTGCAAATCGACCACTGAACTTCCAATATGGCAAAACTCTGTCAAAACCCTCTCCTATATTTTTTTCCTTCTCTCGATCACAGATCAAAGTCATCCTCTACCACGGCACTCCTGAGGAACGAGAGACTCTGCGCCATCAGATCCGCAAGCCGTTCGGCGAGTACAAGACGCTACCCGTGGTGGTCACGTCCTACGAGATCGTCATGATTGACCGCAAGCACCTGAGCGGACACCTCTGGAAGTACATCATCGTGGACGAGGGCCACCGCATCAAGAACCTCAACTGCAGACTCATCAGGTACGAACTCAAGTGGTGATGTCGAGTCCTTCACATGTCCAGTCACTAGGGCTGTGCATCGGAGCCATGTACTCGAGTACCCGACTGTTAGGCCAAAAAAAAGAAGTCTCCGGTTTCTGGTATGGAGCTTGACCAAAAAGTGGTGCGGCAACGTGGCTTTTTTTTTTTTTATCTGATTTTTTTGCTTCAAATGTCGGCTGATGACTGCAAATGGTGCCCGACTAAACTTAGTGCAAATATATGGGAGTCCAGAGAGCAGGGGTGTGAAATCTCAGCTTTAAAGCTGATTTCAGCTTTTTTTGTTTTGGATTTCAGCTTTTTTCCCTCACTTGCTATGTACAAAAGTATAGGAGATTTCCAAAATTCAGCTTTTTTGCACCTTTTTCAGCTGTTTTCAGCTATTGTTATCAGTGGTCGCTCACACCCCTGAGAGAGGCCACATAAAGCTTATTCTTGACCATAACCCAATCTAAAAACACGTTAAAATTGTGCAGCAGCAGGATTCCAGTCACACCAGTGAGTTTGGCGGTTTTGAGACATCATCTTTCATTGAAAAAAAAACTTTTCATTTTGCCGACACGCATGGCTACGGCGACGCGCACGCATACCAGAAACCGGAGACTTTTTTTTTTTGGCCTTAGTGTCAAGAACTGGTTCCAGATTATGGAATCGTGTCCCCGTAACCAACTTTACAAATTATTATAAGTAACTTCTCAGACAATGAAAAAAGAAAGGTTGTTCTTCCACTACTTTCTTCTGTAATTACAACTTTCAGGGAACTGAAGATGTACCACTCGGCCAACCGTGTCCTTCTGACGGGAACCCCTCTGCAGAACAACCTGGCTGAACTCTGGTCAATGCTCAACTTCCTACTCCCAGAAGTCTTTGATGACCTGAAGACGTAAGCAGATTTGACCCATTGACCTATGTCATTGACCCATTAGCACATGTACTGCATTATACAGGGTGGTCCAAAAAAACCCAGAGCCTCATACTTCCATCACCTTGAGATTCAAACCACCTGTACCAATTCGGGCGATTCACAATGCAGTGCGCCACCAAGAGTTTGCCATGGAGAGTTCATTTTTCTCAGTGCATTGTGGGAGATGGTCTACAAATTCGCCGCGCGGGACATTTGAAATTGTTCGTTTTTCCAGTCAGTAGTTTCGTAAGCGTATGTTTCGAGGATCTGTTTGCCCTTTTCTTTTTTTCTTATCAATACAGTGTTTTTTGTAAGGCGGCAGAACGCTATACCCCAATCTATAACATATTAGCTCAATTTGTCTACTGACACTCATTCAAATGGGCCATGTTTTGTCGACTGTAAACTTGAAAAATTTACTCTCCGTGGCAAACTCTTGGTGGCGCACTGCATTGTGAATCGCACGAATTGATGGAGCATCCTTTTAGAAGAATTATGATACCAAAATATCGCAATTCGATCCAGGCAGTTTTTGCTGCAGACCCTATTTTGTAAGGGATACTTCTTTCATGTGGGTATTATTAGATAACAATCCCTCTATCAATTACAATGTAAGTCAAATTCCCGGGCGCGGTTTAGTAATTCATCGGGATAAAATTGCCCCCCTCCTCTTTGCTTCACAAAATAGGCTCTAGAACAAAAACTACTGGACCAAATTTGGCGACCTTGGTTTCATTTTTCTTCTAAAAAAGATTCGCCGTGCATTGTTATGTGGTTTGAGTCTCAGGATAGTGGAAGTTTGAGGTTTCGTTGTTTGTTTTTATTTTGACCACCTGATATAATATTGATTTATCTTTGCCCTGTGTGCTGTCAGAACATGAAATATTACATGAGTGTTCTTTTTGTGTTTGCAGATTTGAGTCGTGGTTTGACTTTTCAACTCTGACGAAGCAAGGTGGAGATGAAGCCATTGTGGCCAAGGAAAGAGAGCAGCATATTGTCTCCATGCTGCATCAGGTATTTTTTTTAAAATGCCTCTGTGTATATCTTTACTACTTGCATTCCATCCATATTTATTAGGTTTTATTTCTTATAATTACTCCGCATTTTCTTTGCGATTGATTACACACCTGTGAAGGGGTACAAGCCTGCCAGACTGATTCTCTGACCTTTCAATTCCCCAAAGACTACAAATTGCTCCGTTTCATCTTAAATGGGGTCATGGTCTAGACCACAAGAGCATGATGGTTTTCTTGGTTTTTCCAGCATCTACAAGCCCAAAACGTGAAACAAGTCAGATTAACAATAAAATTTTGCTATGACATTCTAATCCGCCAAATCCATTTATTTCTGAAAATTGCAGCAAAAGCAAATGTTGTACATTCCCTTTAAATCAACTCCACAAAATCTCAGTATTTCTTCTCCCTAATACCATCCACCACCCATCCACCCCAACCAATCTTCAGATCCTGAGCCCCTTCCTCCTCCGCCGACTCAAGTCGGACGTGGAGCTCAAGATTCCCCCGAAGAAAGAGATCCTAGTCCAGGCCCCGATGACCGCCAAGCAGGCCGAGCTGTACAGGGACCTGGTGGACAAGACCATCCTGGCCAAGATGAAGGAGCGATACATCCAGCCCGAGACGGAGACCCAGGAGGTGTCGGCCGGGGGTAGGGTGCGCAGAAAGTGCCGGGTGGAGGTGGATTACGCCCTGATGGGGGACCAGGGAGAGAACGAGAAGAAAGAAGACGATGACATAGACGGCTGGGTGCAGAGACTTTCGGAGCAAGCAGAACGCTGCCAACAGTAAGGAATCCTCTCATTACATATCCAGGATAAGTAAGTCTGTCCCGAGCCTATATGGCCCATCAGGCCAGCATTTATCTCCGGTTTCAGTGGCATGAAACGACTGAGAATATTTCTATTCCTCCTGGACAGGATGCCAGTCCATCATCGCAGGTTACTCCCCAGCTAATGCTGGTACCCATTTATACTCCTTGGTGGAGAGAGGCAAGTGGGGATAAAGTGCCTTGCCCAAGGACACAACGTATGGCCAGCAGCCGGCTTCGAACCCCTGACCCTCTGATCATGAGTCACGAACCCCTACCACTAGGCCACACTTCCCCACACATATATCCAGGATAAGTTGCGAAAAAGTTTATTTGAATTAGGCCTTTGTATCAGGTACAACTTGAAATGTTCTAAACAACAGCAGAAACGGCCGAAAAGTGGAAAATCTATTAAACTTAATGGACAATAATCTCATCTGTATTCGCATATGAGGTCATCGCTGCAAACCCAGCGAAAAAAAATAGAAAAAGATAAGCCAACACGATCCGTTGTCCCAAGGCGTTTGTTCTTCACCAACTGATTTACATATTGTCGGCGTTTGAGGTCATTGTTCGCACTTTGTACTACAGTGCATTGTATGCATGGCTCATGGCTGGTGTTCATTTTAGTAGCCAGATGGTACCATCTCAGACACTCATCAACAAGTACCTTAACCAAGTTTACAACTAGGGCTATATTTTACCTGTGAAGAATGCTGCACCTGTGTCAAATCCATGTTGGATTCTTGCTAGTGTGAAAGGGGTTCCCGAAATCTCCGAGTAGAACCTGGGTCCGACACATAGAGCTATATTAAATTACTAGAGCGCTAACTCGATGTACAAAGTAATGCCTGCTGGGCGCATCCATGTTTGTGCACAAACCTATGGAAAACTCGAAATTTTGTACGGCTTTTGTACGGCTATTTGCATATCTGCGTTTGTATTCCATCCCGGTGTGTCATCGAAGCCGATACGCCCAACACCGAAACGCACAATCACCAAATGAGCGTGTCATTTTGCTCCACGCAAACAGCGCAACGTGTGCGCGTCTCACTGCTGCAGATGCTTTTCGCCATGACGTTTTCTGAACCGTCATGACGCGCTTAAGTTATTTGCGTATCTTCTACTTGCGCGTTGCATGTAGAGTACACTTTCAAAATTCAATCCATCTATTTTGATTGTGTTCTACAAACACGCACATAAATTCAAAACATCTGCGCCCAGAGCGGCCTCAAAGCGTCTCCGTGCGCAAGAATGAGGAGTTAGCGCTCTAGTAATTTAATATAGCTTTATGGTCCGACCTGAAGATTTCAGATAGTATTTCAGAAATATCTGTTTTTCCTCTTTCCCCTGACGAAGGGCTAACAAGAAGGATCCCAAAGCAGAGACCAAGAACGTGGAGCTGAACATCAAGGACAAGAACGTCATGTCGCAGCTGCGGAAGGCCTGCAATCACCCTTACCTCCTGGAGTACCCCCTGGATCCAGTCACCCAGGAATACCGAATAGACGAGGAGCTGGTCACCAACAGCGGCAAGCTGATGGTGCTGGAGAGACTGCTGCCGGCATTGAAGAAAGAGAATCACAAGGTACAAAGGGGGCAGGGATCGTTTTGGAACATTCATTTCTGAACACTCAATTTAGAAAATGGCTTTTTCGTTTAAGGGAAGCAAAAAGTTGAACATTCTCAATTTTCCATCCAGCGTTTCTAGGCTGTTCACATTGAAAACAGAATTCATTCAGGCACGCAACTCTTTCTTGGATCCGCTGATATCCTTGTTTTTCACTTCACAATTTTATAAGTATTAGAAATAGAAAAACACTGTATAAGGACTTGTAGAGCTTGGGACTTTCTCTTTTTTGGTTACTTCACAGTTGCATGCCCTAATCAGATCTATTTGTAGAACATTTCAATAATTTCAAAATTTGTGAGGCCACCTAAAACCGCCCTTGCGCCAACACGGAACAGTTGGTGACAGACTTTTCAAGATCAAGTTGCGCCTGAGCTACGACTGTCGGGAACATATCAGTCGCCACTTTTATGCAGCCTGATTGTAACTTTGTAAATTAATTTCTATATTGTAACTGCGAGGATATTGAGACGATTGACATCAGTCGACGCTATTTAGTCATCTGTCGGAAACATATCAGTCTCCACATTTTTGCCACCCGATTGAAACTGTGATGGTATTGAGACGATGGGCATCAGTCGGCACTCAAAAAAATCAACAGTCGCAAGAGTAGAGAAATTCAACTTCTGGGCAATTCCACGGTTACTCACGTTACATTTTTGATGTACTTTTGAGTTTCCTTGGGCTGTAATTACCTTACTGAAAAGGTTTAATAACTGCTATCCCCATGGTAGATAGAGTAGACCTAGACCTACCTAAGCACCAAAAATGACATCCAGAAAAAAAGTGTTATGTGTGATAAACAAGACATACAAAATCGGTTACTCACGTTACGAAATTGTAACGTGAGTAACCGTGGAATTGCCCTTCTGTGCCATAACGCAACATGTTCCCGACAGGCGGGAATAAATCGCAGGTGACCTGTGCAAAGAAACAATGTCATGTACGTGTCCAGATCCTCTAATTTTATTGTGAATCTTCGTCACATCATGGGTGACATGAGTATGGCTGCAATATTTCTGTGTCCAGATTCCACTTCTTAGTGACCTGAGCATGACTTTCGTGCTTGATGCCGAGCATATTATATAATGCTAAATTCCCCTCCCATGGAAAATATTTTGTTAACCAGACAGACTCTCGTTGTCTTGAAGACACAACAGTATTTCTCTCAAAGCCATACTTGAATTACTTTGTCTTATCTCATGGCAGGTTTTGATCTTTTCTCAAATGACGCTCATGCTGGATGTCCTGGAGGATTACTGCTATCTACGCAAGTATCGGTACTGTCGCCTGGATGGAAAAATGAAGCTGACAGACAGACAGGAACAGGTGAGAATACTCATCAATGTAAAAAAAAGCCCTCGAAGCTAGAAAACACAAATTAGTCTAGACTCTTGTGTTAACCTTACCCTGCCAGACGCAACGCAGTGCATCAGGTGGAAAAGAACTGGCCAGCTCTGAAACAGTGACAGCTACGTCCCATTGAACAATTAGATTAGATTAGATTAGAAATTTTTTGTCCGCATCATAAAAATACAGAAATGTAGTTTCCATTGGCTCATTTAAATATAAAACTACAATTTGATAAAGCAATAACTTATCCACAAAATTTACACAAAATTTAAATATGAGTAAAATTCCAAAATTTTAAACTACAAGTAAAATTACAGAGTCTGAGAATTGAACTGGGGAACCTGCAGCAACACATACAAAAAGGAATACCCCTATTAACGAACAGCCAAAGTGTTAAATAAATGAATGGAGTTGGGAACAAAGGATTGCCTGTATCGGGTAAGGTTTGTGCGAAGAACACAGAGTCTGAAACCGGATCTATTAAAAACAAAACAATCCAAAAAGCGGATGAGTTGGATCGGACAGAATGAAACGAACTTTAGATATTGCACGTTCCAAAACGATTTTGTCGTATGTTGGCAGAGCGCTGAGCCATTTTACGAATGCGCTCAAACCTGTCCTTATTTTTCTGTAAAAGTGAACCAAATACACTAACTATGTTGAAAGTGCCACGGTTGTATCCTGCTACTTGCGTTGACCACGGACTCTGAGGCAGTGTGGCCTTGAGACTTTTGGCCAAATGGATCTTGTTGCACTGGACAGGCTTTTGACTTAGTCAAGCGTTGCATGTTGCTATGTTTGCAGGGTTCTAGCAAACATACCCTGGAGGGTAAGGGCAGATGGCAAATAAAATTTACTCGGTGCGACCAAGCCGCCGCACAGCGCCCCACAGGGCCGGGGGGCGGGGAAGATTTGCATTTTGCTTTCACGGCTGATTGCACATAGGTCATGCGGCCAGCCACAGCGCGCCGACGCTAACGAAGTCAAGAAAGTTTTTTAGACTTGAAGGACAAAGTCCTAATCATTCTTTGAGATTACAACTTGTGTACATTTCTTCAAAGATGTGTGCTTTATACTTAAAAGTAAGTAAGTACAAGATGTTCATTGATTTTATTCTAACCCAAGCGCATATTTAAACAACAGCTTATTGAACAAAGATAATGACTGGGTTTGGAATCAAAGCAATTGACCTATCACCGTTTGCGAGTTCGCCACGCCCCTTAGACAACCCTATGGAGTTTGTGTACACTAAGTTTTGTTTGTCTCAGATTTGGTGTTCCGCGCCATTTTGAATATCAATTGGACAATATTTCACAAGCTGCTTTGACGCAATTCTAACACAATTCTAAGGTCAATTACTTTGAAAACACATTGCCAGTGCTCGATCAACTCGAGAGTTATCCAGTCCTATGTAGTGGTCTCCAGTCTTGTGTTCCACAGGTGAATTTTCTCCACATTTGCAGGTTTTAAAAGCATAACTGAGAATCTGCATCACTTTGTCTTTTTGGGTCCTTAGGTATATGAAAGAATTGCAGTGGGTAGTTTTAGTTCTTTTGAAGACATTTACCACAGCTAGACCTGGTGTTGCTCTAGGAACCTTTTGTGGCCCATAAACTTCCGCCACATATTTGTTTTGTGTCCTCCCCCCCCCCCCCCCCCCCCTAATCTCACCCCCGATGATGTTGGCTTTAGCCAGTCGCCATAAATCCAAATATGCCTCATGCCCGTGGCTTGGAATCACGGTGCTAAGTTAACTTGGTACTTGATTGCAACTTTGCATATTTTGGTGTGTTTTGTAACAACAGATTGACGAATTCAACAAGGACCCCGACACGTTCCTGTTCTTACTGAGCACCAGGGCTGGAGGGCTGGGTATCAACCTGACTGCAGCGGACACAGTCATCATCTACGACAGTGACTGGGTAAGTATAATAGACCAATCACTTCTGTCACTGAGGTCCCCCTCAATGGCGAAAGCATTGTGCTAGCTATTGTTCAGATATGTCGCCATTGAAGGGTGCCTGGTAGTACAGTGATCATGTGCCCAGATTCGTCTTTGAGGAAAGACAGATTGCAAATGCTTGGGAGTTCCTTCTCTTAAACCCTGTCTCGCATCCTGAGGTTTTGAGGATTTTGCAGGATTGAGCAAGGCAGAGCCCAGCAGTTCTTTAAAATTGGGGCAGGCCATCACAGGCTGTACAGAAATGCCAACCATTACTCTTTTGGAGTTATTATTAGGATTTTGAGGCATGTTACCACTCTTGAAAATTCCAGCTGTCCTATACGCCAACATTGTGGTTACTCTGAAAAGTACTGCGGTTACTCTTAAACTTGACTGTTGTCCTATGTATTTACATTAGCATTACTCTTTGCAGGAAGAATCATTCCTATTTTGTAGTCTGTAAAGTTGGCATCTGTGTCAAAAACATTAGCAGCTTTCACATGAAATTAAGCTGTATCTTTGATCCTCCATGTGCGCGGTCTCAAAATAAAAATTAAATGTGAGTGCATAGAAATAGGATCACGTAATTTTAAAGATCTTGATGATACACAAAAAGTGACCTTTAATAAGTTTTACATTATGTAGATTTTTTTCAACAGAGCACAGATCTATTGTACTGACGTTAAATGCTTTGAGCTCTTCGCCCCTCCCCTTCCCCTTTGTCTCACAGAACCCCCAGAGTGACTTACAGGCACAGGATCGCTGCCATCGCATCGGTCAGACCAAGCCTGTGGTCATCTATCGTCTGGTCACCTCCAACACCATCGATCAAAAGATTGTGGAGAGGGCTGCAGCCAAACGCAAGCTGGAGAAGATGGTTATTCATCAGGGTGAGTTGCAGAGACTTGACCCCTGACCACCCTGAATCCTTCAGAATCCTCTTTGCCAAAGTGGAAGAATTTGGAGGATTGAGGTTACATGGGAAAAGTGTGTTATTGATTTCGTAGGATGCACTTTGTCAAGGTTTTGGGCCGGACCTTGTTTTGTTTTGCTCAGCCATGCATAAATACACATGTAGGCCTGGATTATGTTTGAATCCTCCGCACTGCTCCAGGATGTCACTGGCCAAGCCTCAGCATATTGACAGTCACTGCCGCAGGATTTTGCAGGATTCAGGCAGTGGTCACCCCTCCATGGATCATATTCAAGAAATAACGGAGGAATTCGCAGGATTGAGGCTATATGCTATTACAACGAGACCGATTGAAAGATTTTGCAGGATTGAGGCTACATCCCAGCAAAAAGACCTTGGGAGTTAGGGTTTTAAAAAGTCTTGAGTGCAGAGACTTACTCCATGAAATGTTTATATCTTTCCTGTCTAGATATTTGAGTTTTGCAGATTTTTTAACCACTTTCAAACAAAACCACTCATCAGCAATTCATTAAAGTGACCACAGGCAGCCGGACTTTTTGTAACTTTTTAAGAAAAGAAAAATTGATGGCTACGGAAATCTGATCATCGTTAGCCGTAAGATTTCAAAAAAAGATATGTTTGTGAATATTATTTAAAGTTAAATTGGGACATATTTACTAAATCTGAAATTTGTTCATGCAATTAAAAAATAAGAAACATGTAAGTTGGAGTATACATAAGCAGTCCAGACTTTTGGAATGTTGTTCGGACTTGCAAACGTTTCTCACTTTCACAAAATGAAACACTGTAACGCAACATGTACTTGGTTATAAACCAACATAGTTGCACGCAACAGAGTTCAAAATTTCTGGACAGCACATAATGAATTTTTCTCAAAACATTTTACACAAAAAAAAAATCGAAAAAAGAGGAAAAGCAATCAGTTTCAGTTGCACATGTTGGGAAAATAAAACCTAGCACACACATGCGGCAAAATGAATAATAGTACAAATAATTTGGGAGGCTAATCATCCTTGCTCGCAGCTGGTATGCTGAATTGCGAAGGACGCGGCTACAACGTGGTCGGGCCGCTGGCACGTAAAGGCGCCTATGGCTGCCGGCCACATCGACCCATATATGACCACGGAGCACAGCCTGAGATCGAAAGTGTTTGATTACATAATAACAGCTGCTGTATTACCGACATTTAATAGTTAATTTCGCAGTACATTTCTAAGGACTGTGACCTCAGCTATGTGTTATGTATGCTGTATTTAAAATGTGGTTTACTTACGCCCCTGTAGTAGCATGCACTTTGTAATTCCCATTTTGCTTTAATATTCCACAGGTAAGTTCAAGGGAGGCAAGAGCAACCTAGCCAAGGACTCGCGCTCCCTGATCAACCCCGCCGAGCTCCTGGAACTGCTACGCTCCACCGACCACAGCGGCTTCATCCGCAACTGCAACCAGAAGGTCATCAGCGACACGGACCTCAAGCTGCTGCTGGATCGCAGCGACCTGCTGGCGCGGTTCAAAGGTCAGGAGAAAACCGGCGCTGCTGCCACCAAAGCGGGCGGCAAGAAAGGCGGGAAGCAAAACCCCCGCTCTAGCATCTTCAAAGTCCTGGACGACGCGACAGAGGACGATGGCACAGAACTCAGGATAGGCACATGATGAGGGTTGTTGTTTTTAGTGAAGTTCAGTACTACTTAAGAGTTGGCTTGTACCAAGCAACCAACAGATCAAAGACCCTGGAACAGGGTGATATTTAAAGCCTCACAATTGGACAGTTGGTGTGGGGAAGGTCGGGCAAGGGCATATTCTGTGTTTACAGTGTTTGCAAAAAAGTGCTGAGCTAACCCTGTTTCCATATAACTCTTTAGTTATGCAAGATGTACGAATGCTCAAAAGCCAAAATGTTCTTGCTACCCCTGTGAAATATGTTTTCTGTTATTTTTAACTTCTGGCGAGCAGCGCAGAAAATCGCTTTGTTGTCAAGAGCTTTGACATCAACCACGTACACCTTGCCTAGCTGTTCGTCAACTTAAGTTACCCACAAGTCTGTGCATTTCCTCCACAAGATTCTAAGATTGCCTGTACCAGCGCTCGTAGTTGGAATTGGTGTGAGTGAGAGGAATATAAGAGATAGCCAAATGTTCTAATATCAGACTGCGGGCATTTGTGAACACTGTCACATTACTTTCTGTAATACATTGATTGTGTCAAGGATATAGTGTCATGTTCTCAAGCCTTTTTGTTGACGAGAATGTTACTATGCAAGTATTGATACGCAAAATCTTGGGAGATTTAACAGCAAGACATTTTTTATTTTGTACAAAAATCCATGCTTTGGGAAAGAAAGTAATACTTTTTCTAACTTTACTTACTTTTTCTAACTTTATTTACTTTTTCTTGTGCACTCTCCTACCTTGCTAGTGTTCTGCCATGGCATGAATCTCTGTATAACACACTGAAGTTGTACCCTATGAGGATCCTCGCAGGCTTTTCAATCATTTTAACTTGAGCAAATCTTATTATCCTCGAAATGTGAGAAACGAAGTGTGTTTGCTTTTTACCAAAACAAAACAAGTGAACTTGCCCTTAAAATCTGGAAGGATCCCAGCTAAAATGATGTTTTACTCAAATTCGAGAAGATGTACTAGTTTTGGAGTTTTTCCTATGAGCTAGATGTGCCTTTGATATAGCCATTTGTTTGCTTTTCTTTTACAAGTATTAAAAATGAAGATTGAAAAAGAAACAGCATTTTATTGATTTGATTCAGAGTCCATGATAAATCAGTTTTTTTATGTTTTGTAGTTATTCAAATGTCATACATATAGGTGCGCGGATAGTTTCTTTTCTCTTTTTTGTTTTAGTTGTTTCTTTGCCGTAGAACTTTCAAGATGTAGTTGCTTTCATAAACAAAAGTTTTTGAGGAATAAAGTCCTTTTTTTGGCAGAAAAGGTAAGATAACACATAGTAATTAGTGTTTCTTTTTCATTAACCCAATGATTTGGTTACATTTAGTTGTTAATTGTGCTTATAGTTGACTTTTATTTTTTTTTGTGGTTACTTTTCTGGCTGCTCACATTAAATGTATGAACTTGGTCACTGAGAATTCAAGGTCTTTTATTTTGAACTCTAAATCTTCCCAGATGTGACAATTTCTCAATGAAGTTATTTTGATATTTTTTGTTGTTCACTCAACATACATGTACAAGGGGTTAAACATTCCATATGAACCTCACAAATTCTGTGCTTCCATAAAGTATACAGCAAAGAAGAAGGGAATGTCTGTTTTTCTGTTAAATGTCAATTTTACAGCAGTGAGTTTCGTCATCTGTTATGGCACTTGAATGTACATGTACCTAGTTACATGTACATATAGTACTGCTTAGACATTTTTATCAGAGAAGACACCTTTGCCATTTTGAATACTTGTATTCTTTCATTCATTAGGTTTTTTTCCTGTCAAAATGTTTATGTAAATAAAAAGCTTTAATCTATTCTTAAAACCTAAAATGTTGGAGTAGTGAGATTATTTCTGTGTTTGAGTTTTAGAGTTGATTTACTTGGCACAGATTTCCAGGCAATGGAATTTTTAATTTTTTTTTTATTTTTAAATTTAACAACTTGGTTTGAACCGTTTATCTTTGTATTGTGAGTGTAATGTCCTAGCCATTAGTCTACTTGACTTCTCGTGTGAGCTTTCTTTGAGTTGACGCTTGCAAAGGATAGAAATAAATACAAAGTTGAAGAGGTATTCGATTAAGTAAGGTCAGGCATGCAACTTTTCCTTGGATCAGCTGATTTCCTCTTTTTTTTATTCTCATTTCTGCCATTCAAAATTGAAAATCACTGTACAAAGTCTTCTGAATTTAGGAATTTCCTCTTTTTGTGTGAATTTACAGTTGCATGCCTGTAAGGTGCAGGTTTTGGCTTCGAGTCCAGCCTTCAAGTCCAGCCTGGGGTCATGGTGCGTGTGCCCTTGGGCAAGGCACTTTGTCACTCATTGTCACCAAGTAAAGCTGCAGGTTGTGGGTTGAAGTCCAGCCTGGGGTTATGGTGCGCGTGCCCTTGGGCAAGGCACTTTGTCACTCATTGCGTCTCTCCACCCATGAGTAAATGGGTACCTGTGAGGGCAGAGATGGTTATTGCGATTGAATTAGCTTCCTTGCGCCTAACAGGCTGCATCGAGCTGTATACTCCCCAGGGAGCTGAGATGGTATTTGGAATGTTTCAAGGGCCCAATGAGCAGGGGTAATATTGATGTAGCGCCTTGAGCAACAGTCCTGGTGGATGTGTACCAACTTTTATTAATAAGTTTGAACCCCCGAAGTGGTACAAAAAGTGAAAACATTAATAAAGAAGGAAGTCCAGCGTTGTTTCTTCCAAAACGAAGCAGTAAGGAAGGTGTATCTCTGTTACTCTTAAAAAAGAAAATGAAATGAAATTTTGTTGTTAACGAAATGAAATTTTGAACAATGCAAAATTTGATTATCAAATTTACATGCAATTGGGAACAGTCAAGCAATATTAATCAAGAAAAACAACACCTGGAACTATGGATTGTTCCTGTATCTCGTCAAGTATATTTATTTGTGCAACTCATTGATTTGTACATCATGAGAGATTAGAGATGATTTTCAAACTTTAAAAAAGTAAACTTGATTTTCTATTTAAAAAACCAAGAATTAAGTAAATCACTGGATAAGCACGATGCAAGCTAAGCAAAAATAAAATCATGTGAGAACCAATCAAGCGCAATATCTTTAATAAGCAGGAAATTTAAGCTAGTAGCGTGTTTCGTTGCTATTGCAAATGTCTTCTCTGCTCAGCAGAGTTGCGTGTTAAAGCTATAGTCCATCATTTGCAGCCATCCGAAAAGTAACTGGCGTAATTATTGTTGAAAAACAAACTTGGTTGAAAGATAGTAAGGGAACTAAACTCCCTGTGAAATTATTCTTTCTGGGAAGCTGTCATTTTGAAGTAATCAACGAAAGAAGGCATTTCCAACGGTGATTCTTAAGAAGCACCGTAGGAAAATTTAACTTGAGTTCGTTTTGTTATTCAGCGCAGCACGCACAAGTATTGGAACGACGCACACGCGCGCGCGGTTGTTATAATTCGTCTGATCAGTGCGCGACGTCGCGTATAGCTGCAATTCAAAACATGATTCAGTAACTTTTGATTTAAAATTGAGATCTTAGAATGCTTTTTTTCTCGGAATGTACAGCTGAAGCTTAGCTGAAACTTCATCAGGTTAGTTGCTCAGTATCCCTCATTAGATTTTGAACTCTTTTGTTGCTTCAAACGAACAAAATGCACAAATTACAAATGATGGACTGTAGCTTTAAGCAATTTCATGAAATTTACTCCCAGGTTGAACACGGACAATGTAACTCTTCAGCCATGAGTCACGAGCCAATATGGCCCATAAGGCAGGAATTTGTCTCTGGTTGTCATGTGGCATGAGTTGATAGAGAATATTTCTTTTCTCAAATTAAAAATTAAAAGAAATTTTAAAAACGAGGTAGAAATATAATAATTGGATGCAAGGCCAAAAAAAAAAATATTCGGTCTCTGGTCAGACCAAAGTTCCGGAATTGACGCGGCGACGCGGCTTTTGGGTTTTTTTTGCTGTTTTTTTTTTTTTTTCCCAAGCTTGGATTGTACAGACAAGGTGAGGTACTATTTTGCTTTTTTGGTGTCCTCATGTACATTGGTGTCCTCCATAATTTGCCTTGGTGCTCTCGATCATTTGCCTTGGTGCAATTTCCCATTCCTTGGTTCCTCGCTGTTGGAGCTACCGCGGAACATTTTGGAAAAAAAAAAGATTGACGCGCATGATTAAAATCGACGCGCGCGCTGACCAGAGACCGAGTTATTTATTTTTTTTTGGCCTAACATTGACACGGTGTCACATGTTTCATTCGAACGACATATTTACTCATATTTTTGGCAAAATACATTCCGATAATTTTACCAATATTATGTAGAGCAACTGCTAGCAAGGCATTCATACTTTTCATAACATGGTCCTATGTCACACATTGTGTCCCAACCCGGTGGAATGCCCCATATCTCTCAGGATTTCGTCCAAACTTATCAATTGAGATGGCCAGACCGTGTCTAAGGTTAAACAAATTTGTTAAAGCCGTTTTTCAATGACTGATAAATTTTATGAATAATATGCAAATTAGTATCCGCCATTATCTAAAATTTAACATCTATTAATCTGTGCAGGACTTAGTCCAATCGTATAAACGAAGTATCGTGAAGCCATGCATACAGTGATTATGTATTTTATACTGTATTATTGTGCATAGTATGCTAAGTAGCATCTGTCCTTAGAAAAAATAACTAATTTCTCCTCATGAAATTGCTCAATACTAAATGAGTTGTTGAACAGGACCCATATTTGCAGGGTCACTGATTAAATTGAAGCTACCTACATGCTTAAAAATTGTAATAAGTTATTGGGGAATGGATGAGTCGATACACAATTCTATGGTTGAGGACTGTGTTTATCGTGACCATTTATTCCACAACAATTTTTTAATATACATTGCTTAACTAAATTAGAAAGTGGAGGTAAAGTGGCTTGCCCAAGGACACAACCTACAGAAAGCAGCAGAAATTTGAGCCCCTGACCCTCTGATCACGAGTCACAAACCCTAACCCCTAGGCCACACTCCCTCTTTTACCCATAAAGTTTAAATAATGAAGTTTGCACTTTTCCTAGGTAAAGTGCATGCCCAGTGATAGTAAATCCTTCAGCCAAAACATTAACATCATTTTAGACTGGAATTGAAGGAATAAGACATAACCATGTAAATATTAACCAAAAGTTGCCCTATAATTTGGCAAGTTTGGCCAAATGTCATCTTTGGTTGTCTGTATTAAAAAAAAACTTAAATATAACCAAACAAAATTGGCAGGTAGGGATACCAGGGCAAGATTGGATATTAATTAATGCCAACTCCCTAGGGTGTGTGAACAATCATATAAAAAAGAAATTACAGCAAAAGCAAATGGTGTGTATATTATATTGTAATGGGCGCGAAATTACTGGTTCAAGTACTAGATGACTAGAGACTAGACAAGAATTCTGACTGGAGAGATCGCACGTGTTGTTCTTCAAATAATAATAATGGTTTTATTGTCTTCCAATACTGTTGGCACACACCGTGCCCGATGCGTATAATCTAATGTCTATGTGGATAACGATGAGGCGGAGCGCCAATGTGCATTGCAATCGAACGTTGAGTACGACGCGCTCCTTATTCTGGGTGAACTTCCTCACCAGGCCAGAACCAGTCACGATCTGAACACCGAGCCCTGACTTGGCTCGTCTCTCATAGCGTTTGGGCGCGTACATAGCGCAAGGAGCTAGCACATCATAACAAAATGTCTCTTGCAATGCTCTGATTGGCCGTAAACCACTGCGCCAAATATTATTCTTATTCATAATAATCATAGCGTCTTGACCTAGAAAGCTTCGATGAATTAAACTTGTACAAGTCATTTCATTTAACAGTTATTCTACCATTAGTTTATCATAGGCCCTATTATCAATACACAGTCAACTGTACTGGCATTAATTCTTCTCGTTGAAATACGAGTTGTTAACTTTAAACTTATCTTCTTATCTTCCGTAAGTCCTATCAATTAAGTTTATGAAAGGAACCTGTATCTTATCAGAGTGAAGAATAAAGTGTGCTTACTGGAAAGTAATCATGACTTGCATTTTCGTTACAATATTGTACCTTCAATTTATTTCTTGCAAAATTTATCTTTTGACTTATCGGCATATATAACAAAACAATTGTTGACTGCTGTGAGGTAAGATAGTCCCCTCGGGACGTACAGCACCTTCGTCTCCAGCACTCATATAAATGTATTAATTAAGGCAACATTATTCAGACGATTACATCGTCAATTTAACAATCCTAATGGCATAATGCACAGTCACCAGAGGGCGCCATATATCAAAATCTAACCTTAATATTTTTTTTTTCAAATTGAAAATATAATGTTTCACAATTTTGTAAATGCTCGAGTTTTGGGGAATAAAAAAGGGTGGAAAAAAAAAGACATTTGACAGAAGCAGGATTCGAATGAGTCACCACCAGATAAACATACCGGTGCTCTACAATGTGTATCAAAAAACAACAACAACAACAACAACAACGGAATGCCAAACGTAGAATGTTGTAACCAACATAGATAATATAGATATGGTTTGAAAGATACGCCTTTCCACTTTAAAATGAGACAACAAACGTCCAAAACTGATATTTCTTGATAGTATTTTTTTCCAAGCGAGGTCAAATTGATTTTTGGACCAAGTTTTCAATTTTAGGCATTAGGACAAAGGTAGCCTAATTGCCTCTGTGTGGAAATTTGCCTGGCCTACAAAAATGATTTAAGCGAGTAAACACAATTCTAAACACTGTCTTGCTATCACCTCATGCTAATTTGTTTAGCATGCAAGCATGTTCATAAACTGATAGCAAGAAAGTTTTGGGGTTTTTTTTGGGGGGGGGGGGGTTCCAAAACGGCTCAACCGATCCGACCCGAAAGTTGCAAACGCTAAACCGAAACAGACCCAATCCAACTAAAATGACGAAGGCTTCAGTTGCACAACACTAATGTATACGCATTTCACAGTTTACAATGGCGCCCTCTAGCAGCTGTGCATCAAGCCATTATACCGCACCTCGGGCCTTTTTGTATAGTTTCCTGGCCTCGTCCCAGAACAGGAGGCTGAGGACGGTGTGCGGCGCCAGCCGAAACCACGACGCTGACCAGCCTTTGTAGAAACCCAACAGGCCTTCCTTTTGGTAAATCTTCAGCAAGCAGTCTGTGAAGCCGCTGTAGTAGAGCCCCTTGCCGCGTGCATCCAGGCCCTGGTTGTATAGCCGCGTGCTGATGACGTCGAAGGGCGTCATGACGCAGACCACCACGACTCCGCTTGCCATGCCGGCAAGTAAGGGTACGGCGATACTTTGCGGGTGGAATAACTGTAACAAAAGAAAAATGTTCACCCTCAGATGACTGGCAAAGTGAGCTATGCCATCACAGCAGTCAAAATCAATCAAGAGAGCGTTTCTAACAGTTAAGAATTCCCTTGTCAATTTCATATAGCCATGCTTTGACTGGAGGTGATTGATATGCCAGCTGTACCTACCAGTTACCTCTTTTGTCTGTTGATGGAATTTGACTAGTTGGAGTGTTTAACATGAAATTGATCTAAGTGGATGTTTTATACTAGTCTGTGCACAAATGCAGGGCAGGGGAAAGTGGAAGAACTTTTTGACTGTCTGTGACTGATCAAACAATAGGAGGGTTTTCAGAAACAGAAATGTATTGGATATGATGAGCACCACTGCATTTTACTTGAAGTTCCCAATCATTTGAAGTGCCTATTATTTATGACTTGTTTTGGTTCAATATAAAACCGCTATATCAACATCAAAAGCTGATAAAGTCTGAACAAAATTTATTTGGTTCATTTTGTCTGTACATTTACCAAGTCTAGCTTGACCCAATGGATAGAATAATTCATAGATGGAAATAAAGATAACCTTTCATAGGTAAATATTCTCCATAAAATTATGGTGGAAAAAAGTATTCATAATCTGCATTTTTGTGCGAAAATTCCTTTTCCTCAAGTAGACTGAGAGCGTCTGTGTAAAAAAAAAAACAATACTTACATTGGCCTTGATAACCAGTTCTTTGGACGTCGAGAACGTGGAAAGTTGGGCTGCCGAACCAGCAGACACGCGCACCACAGCCGCCGTGACCCCCCTCCATAACCCTGTGACTCCGCCCTCTCGGAAGATGTGAAGGATGGCAGTGGTGAAGCTGGAATGCGTGTGCTGGTAGCCTACGGCTATGACATTGTGGGACTGTGCTTGTAAGTGAGTTTTGACCTGTATGACAAGACAAAAAGAAAACACATGTGCTACACTCAACATACTGTAGGCCTGGGCGTGTAGTGGATTTTCCTACTCGAGTACTCGCAGAAAAATTATGCGCTAGTAGGTGAGTACTCGCGAGTAGTTTACTAAATTCCCATAAACACAAAAAACGGCATAAGCATTACGAAGAAGGAAGTTACTACGAATAAAAAGCATGGAAGGCACACTGCATTCTTTAGCAATGAGATATCCTTCCTTACTATGCAACATTTTGGCTCATTTAACTTGGAATTTTATTTGTTGAGAGTGCTAGAGGAATCCCAAGGAAACAGATGGCGGAAGTCAAAAGTTAGTTCGGCACAGAATCCGCAAAGTGGTTACTTTTTTCCAAGTCAGCCCTTGTAAAAACATTGCTACTCATCATGAGTGCCTACTTCTACTCGCGCCAGGACAAGTACTCGAGGAGCTGAAAAATCACGAGTAGTAGAAGTAGCAAACCTGAGTACTCGAGTACTCAGAATACTCGCCCAGCACTAACATACTGTGTTCATTTATTGGAGGAGAAATAACTGCCCGGCTTTTGGTCAACTGTTGTTTGTTCCAGTGAGCCAGCCTTATGAACAGACTGACTCATTGACCGATGGTCACTTTGAGTCAGGCAGTGCTATCATATAGACAAAGCCAGGAACGTGATCAAAGTACACGTATGAGGCCCCCTTCAATGGAGAAACCATTGTGCACGCTACTGTGCAAAGCAACTTTCAAGTGACGGATTATCTGAACAATAGCTAGCACAATGCTCTTGCCATTGAAGGGGGCCTTCGTGATGGAATTGATGTTGTGCCCAGATTCATCTAACGAATTACCCCATAACTCGAATGAATGGGCATAAACTGGCCAGACTGGTAGACTATGTAACAGCCTTAAGTTGGTGAACTTTTACAAGGTATTGAGCATATATCGTTGTGTCAGTGCAACACGGTCGTATGTCCATTCCGCAACGAAGTCGTATCTCGTGCGTATACGCTCCATGCAACAACGTCGTATCTCGACGTCCATTGACTTTGCATGTACATCCGGGTTATTTTAAGCCACATACATGGGCGTCGCGAGGGGGGGGGGGGCAAGGGGGGCACTTGCCCCCCCCCCCCTGGAAAAGCAAAAAAAAAGAAAAGAAAAAGAGACGCGAAGACAAAGTGGTGTAAATTTAATGAGTTTGGGGGGGGGGGGCAAAATGTCCCTGCCCCCCTCTAAAACTGATAAATTGAGAATGTGTTGAGAAATACAAGCATTTTTTGGCAAAAAAAATTTGCTCCCCTCTAGAAAAAATCCTGGCGACGCCCATGGCCACATATGACGTTTTGACATTCTGAAACTCGCCTTTTGCATTTATGCCATTTTAGGAGATACGACCTTGTTGCACTGATGCGATGATATATCTGCGTCACAAACATCCGGAACGAATTCTCACCATATAAAACGGGCTGCCGAAGAACGCCCCCGTGCAGCCGGCCACAGCCCCAGCGGCCACGCTCCGCGGCACGCTCACCTCCCCTTTCCTGTTCTTGGTCAGGCCCAGGTTGACCAAGCACTGGTAGCTGCCCAGCCGAACCCCGTTCATGAAGAGCTGGTACCAGAGGGCGGGCACCAGGCCCTTCTGCAAGGCCAGCAGGCCGTCCACGCGGCCGATGGTGAAGAACGCGTGGAAGACGTTGCGGTAGTGGCGCTGGTAGGTTCCCCGGGCTTTCAGCTCGCCCTGGAGCTGCATGCGCGTCTTGACCACCTCCAGGGGGTTGCTGAAGAGGCAGGCCCCGCAGGCGGCCACGCCACCAAGGACAAACTCAGAGACGTTGGCGCCCGCCATCGGAGGAGTGGGGCGTTGCACTACCTTTTAAAACATTTAATAAACATAACACAATGAAATACAACACAATCAAGTGAGCGTTCTTACACTTGGTGTCGACTAGCCCTGTATCTCTGGCCACACACCATGGGTATCGCACACCAGTGATGGGGTTTTCATAAAAATTAGGCAGTGTATATTTTGCCGGAGACAGCAAACCAAATAGTAAACGTTAGTTTGCCGGATATGCACTGAACATGCGCAGTTACTGTTTTTTTTTCTACTTAAACATTTTTCGGTGACAAATTTTAGTCTGGCTCCATGCCAATATTATTGTTGTATTTTTGTATTTACAAGATGGGAATCAGACCATTTTATAATTTCGGACTTTATTTCCCTTTAAAAAAAATCCTCCAGAGCAACAAATCTGAAAAAGAAAAGTAATACTCTGCAATAAAATGTTTGAGACATATTAAAATAATAAAAGAAGAATATTCTTATTAATTTGGGGATGGAAAAAAAAACTTAAAATTGTGGCGGACTTCAGGATTCGAACTTAGGACATCCCGTTCACCAGAGCCATTGCTTAACCACTGCTTAACCACTGCACCGACTGAGCTACACAACTTGGGTCGGAATTTAATACATCTTATAATTCAGCCCTATCTTAAAGAGTACAGCGCCCTCTGTTGATATGGATTGCCGCCGGCAAACCTTTAGTAAACGTTTGTTTGCCGGCGTTACCTCCGGCAAAATATCCACTACCTAAAAATTACGGCCAGTTTCTTACAAGTTACATACATAATGGTTGAAATCAAAAGGTGAGATGAACATTAATATGTTTGGCGGCAGATAAATTGACGATCGAGTATGGAATATTTCCCCATCTAAAACTGTGGTTAAATGATAACCTAATTGAAATGAATAACGAACATTACCACTAGTACTATTACTTAGTTAAACACAGTGCAGTGGAGCAAGGAACAGAACTTACTTGTGTACACAAGCTGCTTGTATAGCGCCCTCCATAGTTATGAGGTTGTTGCGGCCGCCGATGGGCGGTGCCGATGTTCTGTTTTGGGTGGGTTTTTTTGGGGGGGGGGCCTTGGAAAGGGACTGGGAAAGGGACTGGGGGAGGGGCTGGGGGAGGGGCTGGGGCCTTTGAGTTTTGTACCTTTCGCCGAGGAGACGCTTCTCATACTTTTGTAGCCAGCAGGCTTCAACGGCTTCTTTTCTTTGTCTTTTGTTTTTCAATCAAGGTTAAAATTAATGGGGATATCCCACTGAACCAACCCGTTTTATACTATTATTATTATTATATCATTCAGAACATTTATTTCTATACCTTCAAAAATTTAAATGATACAATTACGAAAAACACTAAATATAACAATGTTACACAGAAGAAAAGTGAGAACATTAATAAACAATTAAATAGAAATATGTAAATAAAATTGAAATCAAGAAGCCGATCATTATATGACAAAGCAAAATTGGCTTTTCACAAGTATGGGATCTCAGATTTAGGAAAAAAATCAGCAATTTTTTGAATATTAAAATCATATTTTTTTAGTGAAATTTACCCACCCAAGTTTTCATTCACCGTATGTTTTTTTTTTTCAATGGCACATCAGTAGCCAAATCGATTAGAACAGTGTGTTTTAGGGCCTTGTACGCATCTTTCCTGCAACTTTCACACAATTAATTCATTTTTTTTCTCTCCAAAATTGAAAAAATTCCAAGGGGTCACCAAAGCACATTCGAACTGGAATTTTGGACAGATGGGGAGTTTTAAAGACCATTAGCGTCGATAATTTAAGTCAAAATTAGTGAAAATTATTATTATTTTTCTCAATAAGTCGAAGATTTTTTGCAGGTCGATTTTGAAGGTCGATTGATGTTTATCTTGCATCCAAAAACATTTCTGAATTGTTTGGAGAAAAATTAGATTTTTTTGCCAAATTTGATAAAAAAGTAAGGCTAACAGCTTGCAATTTTTTTCTATTTTGGCTGAAAAATTAAACAGGCAGCATCGAGCTGTACACTCCCTAGGGAGCTGAGGTGGTATTCAATACCATTAAAAGAAAATGGTACTTCGAATGTTTCTATAATCAGGGGTGATAAGACTGTAAGCGCTGTGATTTAGTTTACTAATAAGAGCGTTCTTAAATGCCGATTATTATTAATAGCTTGAAACTGAGGGTCCCTAAAGAAAATTTAAACTGGAACTTTGGACAAATTGGGCGTTTTAAAGAAAATCAGCGTCGATAGTTTCGGTCAAAATTAGTGAAAATTATTAATTTTTGTCTCAATAAGTCGGTGATTTTTGTCCAAATATTCAATATGTTAACTGTTTGAAGGTCGCTTGATGTTTCCCTTGCATCCAAAGACATTGCTGAGTTGTTTGGAGAAATGTCAATTTTTTGCCAAAATTGATCAAAAAGTAAAACTAACCCCTTTCAATTTTTTTTCAATTTTGGCCGAAAAATAGAACTGCATGAAACTTGCAGGAACAATGCCAGATGGTCCCTAGAGCACATTGGAACTAGAATTTTGGACAGATATGCCGTTTTAAAGAAAGTTTGCGTCGATAATGTCGGTCACAAATAGTAAAAATTAATAATCTTTGTCTCAATATGTCGGTGATTTTTGCAGAAATCTTCAATATGTTTAGTGTTTGAAGGTCGATTGATGTTTCTCTTACATCCAAAGACATTTCTGAGTTGTTTGGAGAAAAGTCAATTTTTTGGCCAAATTTGATCAAAAAGTAAGGCTAACCCCATGCTATTTTTTTAATTTTAGCCAAAAAAATAAAATTGCTTGAAACTTGCAGGGAAGATGACTTAGGGTCCCTAAAAAAAAAAATCGAACTGGAATTTTGGACAGATTGGATATTGTAAAGAAAATAAGCATGGATAATTTAGGTTAAAATTAGTGATAATTATTAATTATGAAATTATGAAACTTGCCAAGAAGATGCCTAAGGGTCCCTAGAGCACATTCGAACCGGAATATTGGACAGATCTGGCGTTATAAAAAGAGCATTATTGCTGATATTTGCGGTCAAAAGTAGTGAAAATTATTAATTGTTGTCGAAAATTATATTTTTTTCCGTCGGGCGGGGGGGGGGGGGGGGGGGGCTACAGCTCCCCCCATGAAACCTTGTCGCCGCCTGTCGCCCCCCCCCCCCAACTGAGATTTTCAGTTTCTAAAAAATTATCATTGATCTACATGACGCTCCCCCATGAAATGTTCCAGCCCCCCAGCGCCCCCCCCCCCACCCCACCCCCTGACTACGTCACTGACGATGACTATTGTTTCCGAGCAAAAAGTGTGGAAAACGGTCTGTTTGGACTGGGACTGCACCCTCGCCAAGTTTTACTCCGCGTTTACACAAGACACTGTTCAGGGAGAACAAAACAATATTTTGTCTAAACCTTCTGTCTAGTTCGTCTACTTTTCATGATAAATCATCTGGCCATCGTTCAATTTAATGCATTACTTAATTTTTGAGATAGTTTGTCGACCATGACTACCGTTTCCGAGCAAAAAGTGTGGAAAATGGTCTGTTTGGACTAGGACTGCACTCTCGCCAAGTTTTACTCCGCGTTTACGCAAGACATGGTTGAGGGAGAACAAAACAATATTTTATCTAAACCTTCTGTCTAGTTCGTTTACTTTTCATGATAAATCACCTGGCCATCGTTCAGTTTAATGCATTACTTAATTTTTGAGATAGTTTGTCGACCATGACTATCGTTTCCGAGCAAAACGTGTGGAAAATGGTCTGTTTGGATTGGGACTGCACTCTCGCCAAGTTTTACTCCGCGTTTACACAAGACACTGTTGAGGAAGAACAAAACAATATTTTGTCTACATATTCTGTCTAGTTTGTCTATTTTTCATGATAAATCACATGGCCACCGTTCGAAATTTTTGCATGACTTAATTTTCGAGATAGTTTGTCGTTCATGACTACCGTTTCCGAGCAAAAAGTCTGGAAAATGGTCTTTTTGGATTGGGACTGCACTCTCGCCAAGTTTTACTCCGCGTTTACACAAGACACTGTTGAGGAAAAACAAAACAATATTTTGTCTAAATCTTCTGTCTAGTTTGTCTATTTTTCATGATAAATCACATGGCCACCGTTCAAAATTAATGCATAACTTAATTTTTGAGATAGTTTGTCGTTCATGACTACCGTTTCCGAGCAAAAAGTGTTGAAAATGGTCTGTTTGGATTGGGACTGCACTCTCGCCAAAATTTTCTCCGCATTTACACAAGACACTGTTGAGGGAGAGAAATGCAATATTTTGTCTAAATCTTCAGTCTAGTTTGTCTATTTTTTATGATAAATCACATGGCCACCGTTCAAAATTAATGCAATACTTAATTTTTGAGATAGTTTGTCCTCCATGACTACCGTTTCCGAGCAAAAAGTCTAGAAAATGGTCTTTTTGGAATGGGACTGCACTCTCGCCAAAATTTTCTCCGCATTTACACAAGACACTGTTGAGGGAGAGAAATGCAATATTTTGTCTAAATCTTCAGTCTAGTTTGTCTATTTTTTATGATAAATCACATGGCCACCGTTCAAAATTAATGCAATACTTAATTTTTGAGATAGTTTGTCCTCCATGACTACCGTTTCCGAGCAAAAAGTCTAGAAAATGGTCTTTTTGGAATGGGACTGCACTCTCGCCAAAATTTTCTCCGCATTTACACAAGACACTGTTGAGGGAGAGAAATGCAATATTTTGTCTAAATCTTCAGTCTAGTTTGTCTATTTTTTATGATAAATCACATGGCCACCGTTCAAAATTAATGCAATACTTAATTTTTGAGATAGTTTGTCCTCCATGACTACCGTTTCCGAGCAAAAAGTCTAGAAAATGGTCTTTTTGGAATGGGACTGCACTCTCGCCAAAATTTTCTCCGCATTTACACAAGACACTGTTGAGGGAGAGAAATGCAATATTTTGTCTACATATTCTGTCTAGTTTGTCTATTTTTCATGATAAATCACATGGCCACCGTTCGAAATTTTTGCATGACTTAATTTTCGAGATAGTTTGTCGTTCATGACTACCGTTTCCGAGCAAAAAGTCTGGAAAATGGTCTTTTTAGATTGGGACTGCACTCTCGCCAAGTTTTACTCCGCGTTTACACAAGACACTGTTGAGGGAGACAAAAGCAATATTTTGTCTAAATCTTCTGTCTGGTTTGTCTAGTTTTCATGATAAATCACATGGTTACCGTTCAAAATTAATGCATCACTTAATTTTTGAGATAGTTTGTCCTCCATGACTACCGTTTCCGAGCAAAAAGTCTAGAAAATGGTCTTTTTGGAATGGGACTGCACTCTCGCCAAAATTTTCTCCGCATTTACACAAGACACTGTTGAGGGAGAGAAATGCAATATTTTGTCTAAATCTTCAGTCTAGTTTGTCTATTTTTCATGATAAATCACATGGCCACCGTTCAAAATTAATGCAATACTTAATTTTTGAGATAGTTTGTCCTCCATGACTACTGTTTCCGAGCAAAAAGTGTGGAAAATGGTATGTTTGGAATGGGACTGCACTCTTGCCAAAATTTGCTCCTCGTTTACAGAAGACACTGTTGAGGGAGAGAAAAGCAATATTTTGTCTAAATCTTCTGTCTGGTTTGTCTATTTTTCATGATAAATCACATGTCCACCGTTCAAAATTAATGCATTACTTAATTTTTGAGTTAGCTTGTCCTTCATGACTACCGTTTCTCAATAAGTCGGTGATTTTTGCCCAAATCTTCAATATGTTAACTGTTTGAAGGTCGATTGTTGTTTCTATAACATCCAAAGACATTTCTGAGTTGTTTGGAGAAAAGTCAATTTTTGGCCAAATTTGATCAAAAAGTAAGGCTAACCCCTTGCAATTTTTTTCAATTTTGGCCGAAAAATGAAATTGCTTGAAACTTGCAGGGAAGATGCCTGAGGGTTCCTAGAG